TATCTGTATCAATCGATTGAAGAGAAAGGTTGACAGCTCGACTTGAACCGACCGATCGTCGAAAAGGTTTCGTGTACAATCTACGAGTGTAGCCTTTATAAGTCTGTATGCACAATATCGAGCAAGAATGTTTGGATACTGGTCGGGTCTGCTACTTGTAGGCAGTGTAGACAGCAAAATACTTGACAACGAATCAGTAACGAATGTTTTAGTATAGAAACATTGCGAACGTGACACCATTATCTTTTTCGTGATAAGGCAAATTCATTGACAACAACCGCTATGCAGTTCAGCCCAAAAGGGTCGGGTCCGATCAAATGTATCACTCTACAAGCTTAGAAAGTGTCAAGTAAGACAATTCTTCGAACTTACGTCTAGTCATCCTCGACCACATAGTGGTGGCCTACGTCTATCGGCAAATGATAACTAGAATTATCTTAAGGACACAACTAATTGTAGAGCTCCAATACTCCAAAGTTGACGTTCAGTAGATGTTGACCTAATTTAACCTGGCCATTTAACTGGGGTCTATCTAGGCTGCTGCGTTTAGCGCGAGCAGTAAGGCAAATAGATTTTTGTACAAAATGTTTGCTTTGCCTTAAGCGCACCCACTCCGTCTTGACGTTCGTTAATAACGTAACCCAGTTGTGTAATTAGTTACGGATCTAACGTACCAATCTGAGCTACATCCTTGTACTGTTTGGGTTTTGGGTAAAGGAAGGAACGCAGCGAACATGAAGTTCAGAGTGAAAGTCGTTCGAACGAGTGACCGACTGACCAACATATTGGACGTTATGAGCATGCATCACCGTAACAAATGTGAAACGTACGCGACAGATGCGACTAAGATCACGGAATACATCCGTTTTCGTTGTTAGCTGTTATTGAGTGTGATCTTACTTCCGTTATCATCAAGGTTTCACACTCTTGGCCTTGCCTTAGGTTGCGATTGTAGGACACCTCAGGGTCTATGAGATGACAGAAAGTATAACGGTAATTCCGCCCACATCTATGGAAGTTGTCAATATAAATGCGTTTTCGATTCTTGCACCATAACCAGGACCAAACATACTTCACACATAGGAAACCCAAGTCCAACATTAATTTGCTAAAAACTATTATCGTTAGAAAATTAAGGACACGAAACCACAATAAAGATTTTAGTTCCATACACTTATACACCTTTTTCTTTCGCAGGGAGCACTAAAATCTGTTAGAGATTGAAGATAACCAGTCTTCTAGCGATACTTTAGCTCTAGTATTTAGGAAGAGAGTGATATATTTCGGTTTGCTTACTTGCTTGCAAGCACATCTCAATGCACTGCCCTTACAAAAGCTTGTAAAGAAAGAAGAGCTTATTATCAGCTTAAATAACTAGCTCTTTATTTTTGTATCTACCTAAAGTGGCCATCTATTGAACTGTCTTTTTTGATCTAGAGATAACAATAAATTCCTGTCCTGATCTGTACCCCTTCGTCGTTCGATCGATTTTATAAATGTAGCTAGTATCGTATTTATGCGAAAATTAGCTAGATAGAAAATTTCGCATAATATAGAGGCGATAGCATAAAAGCTATTTCTTTATAATATATAAAAAGACTTAAATAATTCGTATTAATCGTGGCAAACTACAGCAACGATCAATGCACACTCTAGTTATTATTTATAAATTATTCAGCACGTTTAGTCGCAATCACAAAAAAATTCTTGTTCGGACGTTCCCCGCGATAGAAACGGGTTGTTTTTTTTTATCATGTCATCTAATGTAAAAAAAAAATGATTCCAATGCTACGTCATCAGTAATACTTCTTTTTTTTAATAACAATTTTTAATGCACTTGATATCAACGATGGCAGACATCGCTGTAACAATCTGAACTGATATGATCAATTCAGCTACTTCTCGTCAAAACATTCTCTCTCCCTCTCACACATTTTTTTCTACACGGAGGACAGATAATGGTCTAGAGAAAATCGACTAACCGACGGCACTGAAGGAACTGGATTTAAAGGAATCACAATAACGGCTCAGCATCAAAATGCAGAATGAAGTGCTCAGTATGTAATTACGGACGAAGCAGCTGAAGCTCTTTCCGTCCCCGCGGTCTCACGCTTAGAACGCGCACGTTCATAGCATTCTACTTGTCTTCAGAAAAGTACGTCAGTAGCGAAACGCCCGTAAAAGAATATTTTGTCTGTAAACGTAAATAGGGTTCGCAGCCGATTCGGTCTCTTTAGAGCAACGGTAGCCGCAGCACAACCGACAATATTAGAGCTCACGGAAAAGATGACCGTGTGCATCACTGGATTTAGACGAGCGGCAATTTCTTTGAAATGATGTCGTCTAATAAGACGACAGGCATGGTGCGTTAGGAGCAAGCAGGCTCGGCCTTTAAAGTTGTTTTGTTTGGGAAATAAACTCCAAAAATTTAACAACAGGCCTATGTCCGTATTTCCGCCACCATCCCGGACTATCGACTGGAGGAGTCCGTGAGGGGCGGGGAACAGATTATGCTCAGAGATGCTTGAAGTCGGACTAGATCCGCCAGGTTTTAGCTTACGTAGTTGCGAACTCCTTTTCCCTTAACTCTATTCGACGCCTCTTTTAGCTCCCAGGGTTGTGCTTTATCAGCAGGTTTTTTCCCGCTCGGAGTCTTTTTTGAAGTACAGTAAGCTTTCCTATGCGATGACTGGATTAGATCGGCCTTTGGGTAGCCTTAAGCTGATGTGATACGAGTGGTGCATGGGAAGGACGTAAACGATTTATATGGAGATGTGTATTTCTAAAAGATAGTTCTCAAAGACGTAAAAAAATCGGTATATTTTCCGGCAGTGTTCATTTCTGTCCTTCTGGTAAGCAACTTCCTTGAAAAAAATATGGTTGCGTTAACACAAGAAAGATTCCTTTGAAGAAGAACATTCTGTTTACCTTTATGAACAGTGGTACATTAGTGTATTAGTCTGCGTCTTACTTTGTCTAGCCCTTTCCATTGTTTCGCTTCCGTATCATGTCAGTTTTTACCCACCTGTCTGGTACGGCGCAACTTGTCATGTGTCACAAAATGCTCCTATGGAAATATCATCAATTTACCAAGTAGTTACTTAACTAGCTCCGCTTTGTTCGTTAGAAGCCTATAGGAGCCTGCATACTATTTACTGTTATATCCGTATAATTCCTTTTACTCCCTGTAGCTTCTGTCTGTTGCTTTCGCCGTATGTCTCGCTGACGCAAGCATGAGTATGCAACTTTGTTGTTAGAAATTCAGAGATCTTCTATTCTACATTCTTTGGCTAGTACATGACTTTGCACTTCAGCGAGGCGCCTTTGTACCCTCGAAGGCTCGCACGCCCCAACCTCCGCATCGTTTTTACGATATATCCTAGCCAGAGCTATCTACTCTTCAACACAATATACTGAGTAGGCATTTTATCTAGCAAAAGCGACTGCTTAGACTCGAACTTCTCTTACCACCTCTGTTAATACAATTGGTCTTAGCCTGTATTATTTGACGAACTTCGTGATCCAGCCTCATAAGGTCTTTCTTGTCTGTTTGCCTAAATAACGCTTCTTGCCTGACGACTTTGACAACTTAATTATAGGCTTCAATGAAAACAGTCGCCGAATCTCTCCCAAACCCGTTCTTCGGGCTAGCAACCCTATTCTACAGTTGATCGTCTTTATCTACCTACGGCAACAGCATCAGCTGACATGTGTAGAAGATACTGATCATTCCGTACGTAACATATTTTCTTCTATTTTCTGTCTGTAGCTCTTTGAGGTAGTAATTTCCGTCGTGCAGAACAGTCTTCTCGAATCGAACCGAGCGGTCGAGAACGAGCGGTAATGAGAAACGTGCGCGAAAGTCGGAGTGTAATATCGTGTACGGCAAATGTAACGAATAGGCCAGAAGGCTGTAACCTATCATGGTCACCTAATGTTTTTTTCTCAATAAAGTAAGCCTAAGAAAAAAATGACGAAAATTAAATATGATCACTTTCAGAACCTCCTCAAACATCCATACCTAATATTTACTACATATCACTTCTACTATTCACTCTCATATAAGTTGGTGTGTACTTGGTACATGGTAAATGTTCCTCGTCAGTACGTGGAACAAGGCTGCCTTCGCTTGACCTTGTCCGATACAGAGTTTGAGAGATTAGAGCGTGCTGTGACTACTTTATTATTACAACGTCAACTGCGCGGACAACGACTGCTATGACACAGAGGACTGTTACTATGCATGCGTGAAATGGCGCCGCTGACTTAGTTGACCGGTCCAAACACCTGCCCACTTCGCACACCTAAATGCATCCATTTACTCGGTACCGAACAGCATATACGCTGTTAGACGTGGGCACACACGGGGCTGGGAAAAGACGACATCCGCCCGTTTGCGGACCTAGACCAGCCCGCTCGACCAGGCTGATTTTCCATGGTCGTGATATGTCCTGTACTTCTGCTGCTTGGCCCGTGATCGATCTGGATAAAACTCGTCCACACAACCGCCTGCACGACTCCGTTCAGCTGTATTGAATGAAATACCGTTCACTATAAATTATGCGCCCAGCAGATATTCTATGTGTCTGTCCGTATTTGTCGTCTGTCTCCCAAGTTTGCTGCTCAACGTTGGACGCGACCAATATTCCGATAATAGACAAAGGTGCACCGTCGGAACGCTCTTTATTGGATTCGTCTAAAACTTGATGTAACAGAAGTAGCGTCAGTTTAATAAGTTACCAGTACCAGCGACAACTATGTAAATTGCATACTTCCACCATCGCTGTTTATTTCGATAGTGGCAGTGACGCTAATACAGTTTCGAACCATTCGAAAGTTTGACAAAATACAGATTTTCCCGTCGCGATGATATATAGCCATCTGGAAATAGTAATGTTCAATCGTACTCTAGCCATAGCGCTGTGGCCAATATTTCTCGTACGCATATTTTATATTAGGTCATATACACACTAATACAAATTCTTCTTTCTTTTGATCAGAGAAAAACTCTACCGACGTCTAGAGAGTTACCGTAAGGAGCGGTCGAAATGCCCCGAGGCGTCTCGAAGCGCCAACGATGGCAGTTGCACTAGCAGCTAGAAGTAGACCCGACAGGCCGGAGCGGGTGATAGACCCTTGAAGTTGTTGCTGCAAAGGCGACTAAATTAAAACTTGGTCAAATAAGCGGACGATTTTCCCTTCCTGATCGGACGAAATTGAGCAGACGTTGTCCTGCGAACAACAGTTGGCCGCTGAGGTAACGTTACGCGAAATGGTTGTCAACAGGGCTCAGGTGGATACAGCATAAACTTTCTTGGCTGGAACTAAGTTTGTCCAAGCGCGACAGCAGCTTGGTGATGTTAAACAACATTTGAGGCTGATTTGATAGCGGCAGTTTAGGGCGGATCATTAGCTTCTTGTCATGTTGATAGTCTCGCTAATAGTTATTTAGTATTCATAGTCAAGTAAACAATAACTTCAATCATCCACTACACGATAATAGTTTCGCTAGATATTGAATGCATTGACGGTAGTTCTGGGGGGTTATTTGTTTGCTAACTACACGGGTCATTATTTTTTCACTAATTTTACCTGTATTGGTAATACTGGGGTTTGTCAAGGTAAACTAACAATTCTGACCATATGATCACATAGTTTTCAAGGGTCGTTGTTTCACTGATCGCTTAACTATTTGCCCATATTGTTTATCTGAAGCAAGAAAAAACACAGTCGCACTCTGTCACGTTCATAAGCAGAAACCCATCCCACTTATTACACTAATTTGCTTCTATTCCCCTATGACAAATACATAAAATTAATCCTAACAATGTAACATGTACTGCTTCTGTTTAGCCAGGCATAAACTCAACACAGTGTCTCTAATATCAAACGCTAGCAAAAGCGAGCTGCGAAGTTGTGAGTCGCACCATAGGTGGGAAAAAATATATGCAGAAGTGGGCATTTACAATAAGCTATCTAAGTTTCAAAGCTTGGCCAGTCATTGTCTATGTAATGTCAGCCTTAGCGCTTTCGCTTAAAGTGCTAACTATAACAGCCCATGTCACCGCTGCCGAAGGCAAAAGATCTGAATGAGGTCGGTCGGTCAGACTACCAAGAGAGCAAGCTACCGAAGCTGAAGTTGTCTGTTGCAGTCAGCTGAAGGGGTCAGTTAAGCTGAAATTGACTTTCGAACCAGGACCGTAACACTAATAGTTCCTAATAATAGTACCAGTAATATTAGTAGAAGTAGTTGTTGCCCCCAGTTAGCGCATCAATGAGTTTTCCTTCTTCTCCCCCTGTCAGAGCAGTTGGCAATCGTCAGCAGCTACCATGGCTAACGCTGGCATGATGCCCATTCTGGGCTCTGGCCGGATCGTTATTTTCTTCTGATCATGATAATCACGTTGACGAAGGTGATTGTGTCCATAAGACAGGTATCAGTATGTGCGGCAACGTAAAAAAACTTCCAAATCGTTTCTGCAGCTATCACAATTGCGAGTGCAAGCTACTGACGCCGTGGCTACCATCTGCCGCGTCAGCGTAGTTGCCGACCTAGAAAATTATGCTAGCGTGAAATCATACCGATGTTTAGCATGGGCCGGTGGCATCGGAATTAAAGATATGGCCGTTACGTAAGTAAATCTATTTGCGCTACAGATCTTAATCAGGACTGGCTAAAATGACTTTCTGTTTTCGTGTATAAACGACACTCGTCGGAGACTAGTATGCTAACGTTCATGTACTTCTTGGCTTCAACATTATTTGGTACAGGATCTCTTGAGCCTAGAGAATGGGGAATGAAGGCGGACGTTCAGTTTCAACATCTACATTATGCGATTCATATAATAGCATGACGGAATAACGTGAAGTTACCACTACGTAATGCAAATTGTACCGTATTACTTTATGACCGTTAATATGATAGCATTGTTATCATGCGTTACTAAACGCTGTAACAATCATCTCCAGCGTCATCGTAGTACGTCTCCTGATGGGCAACTGTTACGCTAAAACGTCTGCTTCGATCTAAAGAATGACCTATAAAACGGTGTTATTTGTGCCCATCGTTCTATTTAAATCACATGACACCAAATATTATGTTAGAAAAAAAGGCTTATAGTAAGCACCAAATGCTGCGCTGCCATGTCAACCTAACCCGACTGTCTCTATTTGAGGACCAAATTGACTGACATATGTAATCTTCTTGTTGTCCTGATTAGGCCAAGTGGATCGAGCGTTTATTTAACCCGTCTTTCCTACCATACGTAGGTTGATGGCAGCCCAATCTGCGTATGTGCATACTTGAGAGTACCAGTAGATAAAGTTGGAAATTCGAATTGGTTAAATTTACTTACGCTTAAACTTACTGAAGGTGGCATAACCTGGTCCATTATTTGTATTGCCGATTTATCCCGAATCCCAGGAACAATATAAAAATGGGGAAAGGTTTCGCCTGCTATTGAATGCAATGGCCATGTGTTTAGGAAGCGTGTGATACGGTTCGCATTCACTTGAGCTAGTACGCATCAGTGAGATGAATATACTGAGTTTGAGCACAAAGAGGCACTTGATCGCCTGAGAACAACGGATAATCTGATGATGCATTGAAATAGCCTTCCCAAGATCTGTCCTGAGCATATGGTTCACTGGTATTTCTCTAGCGTGAGTATAAATACACAATTTAGCGAAAATGCAAGCCAACTTATGGGCTTTCGGTTTAAGTTAGAGAATTTAGAGTAATAGCAACAATAGTATGAAATCAGCTAAATGCGAGTGGCATTATTTACTTACCGAAGCCGAAAGTTTAAAGTTAGTTACTTATGCTTAACGACACTTATGCTTTGGGTTCATTCACATGTCTAATATATGAAGCAAAAAACATACTTACGCATTTTCGTATTTGTGCCTATCTAATCCATGAAATTTTTTCTGTTGTTGATTTTATATTATCGAGTGCAGTTCATACTGAATGAGCTAATCTTCATACTGCTAAATTTCTAAGCACATACAATTTTACTCAGTTTTTTTTTGTTTGCCCGCTTTCTAAAAGGCTACAGTAAATATCTATTCCTTTTTTTTTATGATGTCGTACTTTCATCGTAATGTCTTAGTAAAACATTTTCACCTTATTCAAACTAACGTAATTCTGCTCGTATGATGCATATATATATATATATATATTATATATATATATATTTTCAAACTTTTAGGTAGAACATACGTTAAAAAATGATAAAACAGTGTCACTAAGAAAGTATGTTTTCTTTAAGCGAGTATTATCGTTAACGAAGCTGAATTAGTGTTTTCGATTTATCTAGATGAGTCGCTTTTCGCTCACAACGTTGCGTCAATTGCTCCGTTTCAACGAAACTTTAAAAACGCGCCTACGTCCTTAAGTCTATTATGCTGCCGCTATTCCTTCGATATTTGCTATGGTAGTTATATCAAGAGCTGCTGAAGCTATCACAACCATCTCAACATTGGTTTCCTAGAAACGTGACTCATCTCAAGCTTCGGCTCTTGTATTCGCCCATTGGTCCGGCTCTTCGGGCCTGGTTTAGTGGAAGCTGAACCCGGGTCCTGGGTACCTGCTCTAAAGCTAAATTAAATCTCGACTAGCCTATAATAACAAAAACAATATGTGATTAAGTTCAAACTGTTGGACCATCCTTGTTGGCCACGTAAGCCTTGGCCATCGGTAAGGCTTTAGTATATGCCTATGAAAAACTGGTGCTGCCCTTGATTAGAATTATTATATGTGATGGCTTGTTGAATTACGAAAGAAGGAAATAAAAGCCGTAAGTAGAAACGACGAAATCTTCAAGGTTGACAAAAAAATGGGGTCTCTCTTCAAAATGGACTTGTAAAGTTCGTATGTTAAAGGCGTTGTCTGAAGTGACCAAACATGGTAGTTAACCAATGGAGCTAGCAATGACAGACATGGGCTGAATAATACCCATAGACTCGAAGCAAAGAAATTACTCGATCTCGTTGTCTATCTACTTGCCTAAAATGTTACACGTCAGTGAGACAAGTTGCACAGCGCGTAAATAGCGGTTTTTATAAAAGCCATGGGCATTGCAAGTGGCGCATTACCGTTAGCGCTAGCGGTTCTTCTGCCTCGCTAGTTGTCAAAGAATGCCGCTTCGAGTTCCGCAAAGAACACATACGTTTTACATAACTTGTATCATCAAGAATCGAATGCTTGGCTTGTTGTTATGCTTGGTTGAGAAGAAGCGCCCGAACGCAGATTTCTGGATATCAGCACAGTGCCTCAATGTCCGATCTACAGAGGGTAGAAAAGTCCACGGTGTCTCAGTTAATTCTTAATTGGCCTTTCTAGCGGAAAAAGCCCAGCGCTCGAATGTTGGTAGCTTATGCTTCGAAAAACTCTGTTACGGTAGTCCGTATTAGCCTTACTTCGTCTGTTCTCGCCTCGTTGCCTTCTGAGACAATCGTAACTTTTTTTTCTTCCTATTTATATTGTTGACAATTTCGTACATCGTTCCGATGTCAAAGGAAAACACCCGCGCGTGGTATGACAGCTGCACACTAGCACATCAGTTATCGGTAACGCTACTCACGTTAGCCGCCGGGACAGTGAGGTGCTACATTTGTATCACCACGACGAACCGCTGTTCCGTCGCTTTGAGTAAAGCGAATTCATGCGGCTGCTATGGATATTCTGCAATAGTTGTTGATGATTTAGGCCATACTCCCACACAACAGTAATAGTAACGGTAATGAAGACGAAAAAAGCCATCTTTGCGAGCTTGTTTCAACCAAGACTATGCAGGTGAGATGTCATGTTGAATAAGAATAAAAACATGTGGGCTTTCGGGGCCTCCTGGCAAAGCAAATCCGTCCCGAGTAATTGTAACTATTATAGGTTCTACTGCGGCTATCGTTGCGCCGCTGATTGGCAACTAACGAATTGGCGTAAGTAGTGTAGTTTAACTCTTTTGCAATACCTTCCGATTCGTTGGAAAATTATTAAGATCGGATTATTTAACCAACGGGATTGCAATTAAAAGGGTAAACATATACTCCGAAAAGTTCTTTTTTTTTAGCTTACAGAAGAAGTCGTAACAGAGGCTGAATTCTAGAAAAACGAAGAGTGTAAAAACAACAGCGACGAAAGACACAGTAACAAGAGATGCCACAAAGGACAAAATCCACAGTATATGTATTGCTTGTGTATGGCATCAAATCGGAGACAGATAGCGAAGTAACAGCGTCAATGATGATAAACATTAAGAAAACACCCAACAACTAAACTACTGGATAACAAAGGCCATTAACAAAGCGGTGAAAAGCGGTTACCACGTCGTAATTTTCCTCCCCCACAAAAGTATCCTTCTCATTATTGTCAGGAGTGACATATTTTAATTCATCTATTGTTTGTCCGGGATCACAGTTGAACCCGTGTTGACAACAACCGTCGATGACGATGCTTATGATGGTGGCTTTTCAGAGCATTTCTGCGCGTGACTTGCCCAGTCCATTCATATTAGAGTGTGTGCCCGAATGTTGCGCCCCCTTCCCTGGGCTCTTTACCTACCTCCCTACCTATCCCCTCCCCCCTTTCTTTCTATTCTTCGTCTCTTCTTTCTCCATCCTTCGTTCGCCTCCGTTGTAGTCCACGTCGTCTACCGCCATAGTAACCGCAGCTATGGGCTGATCGGCTACTATTTGGGAAAAGAATAAAGAACTAACCATCATCTCCTATCCACTACCATTGTAAGTGGTATTGCACAGTTGTTTTGACGTTTAGCATCAGCAACAAAGCAGGATGACGTTGATGGAAAGACTGGAAGGTGGTGAGGGTGGCCAGATAACAGTAATAGCTACAACAACAACAACCTTGTTGTCATTTGTATGACAAATTTTATGGTGAGGACTTAACCCCTTCGATATAAATGTATCACATCGTTATCGATGCTATAACAAGCATACTCAGCCTATGGATACAGAGTGTGATGGCATTCGCGTCCACAACGTAACAGTAAGAGCAGCACTTATTGTTTACATAACCTTGGGTTCCCTGTTTCCATTGCTATTTTTGCTGTTTGGTATCGTTGCTGCTCCTGCTGCTGCGGCCATTTGATAGGATCTCAAGCGAACGTCGTCACGGCACCGGTAGCCGCGACAAGCCATCAATGGATAGCACTTTTCTTTTTTATCAGTATCAACATCAAATATTAAGTGCAGATCACGTCGTAAATAAGGCCGCCAAATAAGAAAATAGCAAAAAAACGGATATCGAGGTAGAGAAGAACGACGACAGAAGACCTGCTATGGGGCTGTTTGATTTTCATAAGGACAATCGTCACTTATGATTTTTATTTAACAGTCCCGTTTTCTGTCCAGACGAACTGCTTGATCCCATAAATGTAACCCCATCGAGAGCGATATCCGTTCTTTTCTTTTTTGTTTTTATTACCTATTACCTGCTGGATCGATGCGGTTGTGCGTCACGGCCTATCAGCCCGTTCGACGGTGTGTTTCATATCCCCCTCCTTCCCTTTGTATAGAGAGGGAATTTTGATTTGGACATCATCGCTAGTGTTTTTGTTACTAGCTACTTTTGCTAGTTGTCATTTTTACTACGACGTACGACGACCTTCATTCGACTTTGTGTCGACATGTCTCGTTAATTATTCTAATGTAATTAGCTGACGCAGTTGAGACGAGCGACGGGGCTGTGTAATGCGGCTAGGCAAAGGAGAGGGAGACTCGTTAGCTTTTCAGTTGTTAAAGAGAAATTAACCAGCCGTTGAAAGATCAGTTGAAGAGAGGAAAACAGTCGGCTACTACCAAGCCTTGCTGTTCCACGAAAATGACTAGGTCGCAGGAAAGATTTCGAAATATTCTAAGAACGAACAAACATGCAGAGGAATCTGTTTTGTGCAAAATAGCATTTAATGATGTTCCTGGAGATGGCATAGGCTATCGAATAGTACGGATCTAGTGGATGGTAGGTATTATGACGGCGGTACAATAGATGTTTATGCAATTTACAAAGTTACTATGCAAATTTTTAGTTAATTCATTGTACGCTAAAAGTCAAAGACACTTGCCTTTCTAGACCTTGAGAAAGTGAATCATGCGACAGGCAACTAAACATTGTGCTGGCCATTAACGGTCTTCCCTATAGCATAGGTCTACAGCGTCTTTTGCGAAGCGGTCATTGTGCATATTTTCAGTTTGCCGGCTCCGTGAGAGATACAATATTATTTTACTTAAGTCCTATTGTATATATACCATTTACACGCTCACAACGGTATGTTAGGCAACTCGGAGTTCTTCAATTTTATGTTGCTATTATTAATAACAGCATCATCATGTTTGGTTATCTTATTTCTTAGTGAAAAGCGATCATTTTTATGTATTTATTACGGCTGAAATGCCTCACGTATTTTTCACATCGGGTAAATTTAATCTGTGACGTACGTTTTCCCTGAAATCAACGAAGGGTCGTTAATTGAAATTACTAACTAAAAAATCTATCATCTATAAATAAAGCAATGGGCAAGAAAAGCAGGCTGTGCTTGATCGAAGTCTATACATACATAAACGTATATTCTATGGGAACTCTAAAAGGTCTGTGTCGTTGGTCCCTTAATCATTCACTATATAGTTCTATCATTGTGGTATGAATAGTCAAAACTATGTCCTGCTTGTAAATAAAAAATTTATTTGAAGCGAATATAATGTATTTCACTATTATGTTGCATACGATGGATAAGGCCAATAGTGAAACGTGGCCACATTTATCTTTTCTATTCTATCCACACACTTACGTGAGATGTACAATGCTGTCTTCTACAACGTGCGTGCGTGCGTGCGCGCGCGCGCGCTTCCGTTTCAGACGGACCGACTGCAAGACTGTGTAGGTATAGTAGATTAATGTAGATGTGGTGCTCTCCCTCTCTCCCTCTCTCTCTCTCTCTCTCTCTATATATATATATAGCAATGGCTATGGCCGTGTGTTGTACAATCACACTATCTATCTACTATGAGCTCTATAGAGGATAACGGACGACAACGTCAGTATCTCAGTGATGCGAATCTTCGACCTGCCCTATAGAGTCAAGGGCTCCTCTTTAAATATCATTATTATCATTTCAATTATTATCCATTCAGTATCCGAGAGCATAAGAACAGCCGCCTTATAGCAGTGTAGTACATTAGCAAGGTAAAGCCAAAACTTGTTTACCATTCTCATCTTTCTTTCCGCAGGTGTCAGCCAGACTTACACACAGGCAAAGTGCACAACCTCAAACGCATCTGCACGAGGTCAAACGTGCGGTACGTGTCGGACGTTGTGCGGCTAAAGCGTAGTCTGCTCCTAGCTGAGACAAGCGGACGTCTTTGCCACAGATCATTATGAAAGAGAAACACACTAGTGCGGTGTTTTACCGTGACGAATATGTCCAATACTGGCATTATAAGTGAATGCCTGCAGTGATGTGCCTGAATGTTAAGTTGACTGGCTCTTGCCTCTTAGGCTGAACGAGAAAGGAGCTCAATAAAGAATTGACCACGTTCTGGGTGGGCATTGATTATCTTGTTGCTGCTGTTGTTGTTTAACACTACTTGAATAGACCGCATCGAAAACATGTGATTACGTTCGGGTACGAGGTATGATGAACGAAAGGTTCATAAAATCCTGTGATATTTGCCGAATCTTTATTAGTAAAATAGTCATCAAGTTGTTTAACTAAGGAAACACGCAAAACACAATGCTCCGTAAAAATATCAAGACTCTAGAGCACAGACCAATACAGGAAAGAAAGGGAAGGACTAGTAAAGATCAAATTATGTATATGTATACATAATAAAACCGTATCCCCGATTGACTGCCGATGGATTTTTACGCTCCATTTGTATCGGTTATCCTTCTGAAAATCTTTGTTCGTGCACAGACCAATAAGCCTGGTTGTACCAGCCAGCAACAGGTAAAACTAGATCAATTCTGTTAATTGGTATATACAGAAAAGTACTTTTTATCAAGAGCTATTAGGCAAAACTAAGTTTAACACTGTGCAGTCGTCGACATAAAAGAGATCGTTGTAGTTCATGTGGTCAGCGGCAGATCGGGGCGCACCATTCAGCAATGCGGGCTTAAGGGCTGGTTGCTCCGAAGTTTGGGACTGACATACTTTTGGCATTCGATCACTTTTCCGTCCGTTATTTTCTGTTCTGTCTGTAGTTTATCTGCTAACGTGATTGGGTGCTTCTCTTCAGTCATCTATCGGATATAAAATATGGGCTCATACACACGTGCCACACATATCTATGTATTGAACCATGGCTATGCGACCATAATAAATGATTACCAGGTTTTCGCCCCGAGCAATTTTGCCATGGGCAAAGGTATACGTCGCAGCTGCAACGATATTGTCACTAAAGCGTTAACAGAAACGTGCTGCTCAGTATGGAAAGTGTGACTGTTTGCGTGTGGGGCATCGCTGGGAACTACAGTTTTCATGGTCCTCGATGAGCACTAACGTGTTCGTAACCGACTGTATAGCACAACCTTAATACGACAGATATAATAGTTCAGTGCTTGATGTTTTTTGTGGAAAGAAATCTTGTTACGTAGCCGTACGTAGTCGTCAATCAGACGGGTCCTTTTAGGCTGTATCTGCCATGCTAGTTACTGTTAGCTAAGTCAACCAATACAAATTTGAGTCTGTCAACTAACTGGGATATTGTTAACTATTTTTATTAGAAACCATGCGCAAAACATATATACATATAGATAGATACTAGTAGCCGAATAGATTTCCCAGTTTATATGTTTTTGTGTATTTGGCTTACCCAAATACGAGCAAATGTAACTATTATACTGAACAAAAATAATAATAATAGAAAATAGGATTATGCAACAAATTATTCACTAGAATGTTCTGTTTTTATTACAGAACAAAGTTTGGGAACAAAATGTGTTGTGGAAATGCGGAATGGCCAAACAATTCTCTACAAAAGTTCGCCTACGGATCACCAGCAGCCAAAGGTAACAACGATCCATGAAGTCAATGAAATTATTGATTGGTAACAACTTATTCCTTTACCGCATCGTGCGTCTTAGAAGACATTAGCTATTACACAATTTGTCAAAATCATTCACTTTTGTTTATAACTTAACAATTATTCTTAACCCACCCCTGGAACCTAGTAATTGTTTTCGACTTCTATGAAGAACAAGCGGCATCGGAAGCACGGTTTACAAATGAATATACTTTCTGAAAAGTAACATGGACCCTGGGTGCGATTCGTTGGATCTTTCGAGTCCTGACCATCTACAGTCAAAACTGTGTGTGTGTGTAAATATTGCAGAGTTCTGAGATACTGAAGTAAATTTAAACGTTCGCGCCTTTCAGAAAATCTTGCTAATGTTTTTGAATCATCGATGGGTCGTAACCTGTTTTGCAATTTGATACTGTGCTCATGTCTCAATGGGCTTGAAAAGATGTTAGTTACTTATATAGGGTGTAGCGATTATATGTGACTGTGGCAGCTGCCAAAAGAAAGTACGTTCATACTAGTGACGATAGTTCCTTACTAGCTATAGTAAATTTTAAAACACTAATAGTGCATATCAAAGATTTCCAGCTACATAAAATTCTAATTTTAGAGATATTTATTATGATATGATAATGATCATTACTTAGATAATCTATTTTCCAGAGAAAGCGGATAGGCGATTGATTTCATAGAAGTCTTCATGGAGCCCCTTATAGAAGTATATTACAAGCCTACCTGGTTGATGACTGGCTGCTCGCGGCCTCAAGAAATCTCTTTTAGCAGACGAACAATAGAACAAACTCTACGCGTCCATTTGGTTTGCCTTGTCTCTCAGCCGTTCAACGAGATAAAATATTAATATGTTAAGATTCTGAAGTTACTTGCTCTACTTTTTTCGCCCTTACGTGACTGCTCTCATGAGTAAATTGTATAGTGAATCACTCGGTATTGGTCAGTATTTCTGGAAACAGAACTGAGTAGAGCCTTTGCCTAAAAGCGGGGTAGCTCTGATCCAAATACAAGCTGGAGCGTCAGGGCGTCGTACTCCTTCTCTCAGAAGTAGTCCGGGCTTAGTTTCCTTTGCGTCATGTTGCGTTCCAAGTTGGCCGTATGGAAACATACGGAAAACATGTGTGTTCTATGATCGGGACACTGCTTTAAGCCATTGAATAAAAACATGTTAGCTTCTCGAACGCCACGATAAGATATTATATTTGAATTATATTCCGCGTATTCCATACAACAATCCGAGAAGCATTGGATCTACCCTGTACATATAAGTACAAGTCTCTTACAATACCAAGCTTCCCACATTGGAATCTATACCGGCGTGAGCAAATGCTTGTACAGATCCCTTTAAAAACTGATGGCTACCCACAATCATATTGGCATATGAGTGCGGTTGCTTAATGGAAGCGAAAAAATCATTTCTGCTTCGGGCTGTGGCGATTACTGCGCGTAGATACCCGGTCAGAGTGTCTTTGTTGAAGCGGTTTCTAGATAGATTACGACGACCAACTGTGAAACCCCTTTTCCAGGCAGATAATTTTCATGGCTTTGTGGATGAGGTCATAGCCGTGTTAAAAATTTAATGATGGGTATTCAGCTCTGGATTTCGTGGAAGAACTTCGACGTTCCCTTCTTAGCCTTGTACTGCGGCCATTTGCGCGCCTATCAGCCCTTCGTACTATGTTCACTGAGAGTATGCTAGGTAAAAATGTAAAAAAATAATGCATTATATACATTCTGCTAACAAAAAATAAAACTTTATGGCTATACAACAATTGGCCATTAGCGGAACGCGTGATATATTACGGTAAGTGGCCAAAACGTATCTCTCGCATATCTTGAACACATAGTAGTACATCAAGCTGAAGTTCAAATAGATCGAAGAGAAACTTTCTTCCAACACGTATCGCGTTGCTTAAACAGATATCTGTTTTCTTCGGGATAATAAAAGATAATTGTTTAATACAGAATTTTAGCATGGGGTACTGAACCGAGGGGGGTAAAAAACGACTCAGCGTTCGGTTTTTCGTGCTAAAACATCACTCCATCAACAATCAATTCAAACAAGTAGCGTTTATTTCTGAAACCCTATATTTATCGCTGTAAACGGTCGAGACGATGCTGTCACATTTCATACTATAGAAGAGCTTATTCACGCCTCAATTGGTCTAGTTCCTAGTGTACTTCTAAAATTAGCAAACGCGAAAAGCTATGACCATTACCGCCTCCGACGGTTCTGGACAATTTCCGTATGCGTTGAGATCGACCTCATTTACATTCAAATAGAGAATAATAAATACCATGAATTATCTGAAGAAATTCAATAAAAACGAAGTATATCCAACTTCACACAAAGTTGGCCCTGTCCTCGGTGTGTCCATTGATCGCATAATTGGCCCGACATTTTTTTGTCTGTCACGAAACTCAGATCTACAAATCTGAGCTCGTGTGTCAAATAACCATATTGTTTACTATAAACTTTATCGAAAATTTGCAAGTGAACCCCTATTCTTACAATTTTTTTTTCTTTTTTCGCGAAACCGTGATATCGTTATATAAGTCAAATGACGTTGCGGTGTTGTCTAGCAATGCCGGAACGAATATACACAGACATTCTTGCTACGCCACTTTTTTTTCTGTTTAGCTTTTCACTATTATTTTAAGGTTGCGGGCTGAGCAAAAACGGTCTAACTTGATGAATAGATAAAAGCTGCACGCTTGTTTTATAATTGTTAACCACTGCTTTTCTAATAGCTTTGCCGTTCGCCTCAATTTACAGGAATACGATATCATAAATCGGCTGACTTTGTAAGCGAGTTCCCTACGCTGCGCGTTCCCTTTTAGTTATTGCTAGAAGTAAGGCGTCCTTGACAAAGGCGCTCGCTTTAGAAGTCTCCCCAACAAAAAAGAAAGCTGGGATTGGAATTGGAAGAACGGTTTTAAAGTGACACGCTACGCTTGCGTTTTTAATTTGAAAGTCCTTACTGTAGTAAGTTTAATAATTGCCAAACGAGGCATTTAACGGCTTTTTTTTTTTAGTTTATATCATTTCGTAAGCGCAACTCACGATAAACTTTACATCTAACAAGCTTGCTTCACTTTCATTACATAAATAATATTATCAAAAACGTTCGCGATAAACATGTAAAATAGACAGGTGTTATTAATAGTAAATGTTCCATTAACTTTGTAGATTCTACAGTCGGTACAAATGGTAACCTGTTCGAAGATATTTGCTTACTAGATAATGGAATTACCCTTTTTGTGTTCGGTCATACAAATAACTTAACTTCATAGCTTTTTCAGTTATTTCTAACGTTATCAATGTTTTCATTCAAGTTTTGGTTTGAATGGTCACCAAATCCATGTTAAAGTTCGCATTGCAGTCTGCGTCATGCTTGCGACCGACATGTCAGACCGATATGCTTCGTAAAACAGAACCTTCACCTGTGCCCTTTGTGTTGTTGGCAGGCAGGGCAAATCTCGTTCAGTCCCAACAAAGGTTAACGTCTTCCATCTACAGCTACTTATTTATACGATAAAATAAGCGTAAATTGTGCATTTAACGCTTGGGCCATCTTTAGTGTGACAGATAAATGCTGTAGACGTTTTGACAAACCAGACAACAGCAGGGAACAAGGTAATGAGCTGTGCAATAGCAGTTTTGTCTAAGTCCAAATACACTAAATGAAAAAGAAGTAAGGCCTTTTTTTGACTTGGTAGGACAGTTTTTTCCAAGCACGAATTCCACAAAATTTCTCTCGTACGGATATGCTGCATTAAAAGTTTCTGTTTTACAAAACTGGTTAATAATTCCAACTGACTGACTGTGAGTCAAGCGCGTCATACATAATAATAACATAAGCTGCCCTGGTTCACTGAATGTGTTGTAATTTTTTGCAATGTTATTATAGGGTTTTACATATATATGATTATAAAATTGACCACTTAGCAACTCTTTATCAGAATAGGAAAGTTTACGTGTAATAATTGGTCGCAAATATTGCTTTGCTTCCATTTTAAATACCCTCATACAAATTTCGGCTTTCCTAACGAGAAACAGTTACGGTTATTTCTTACGAATATTAGAACATCAGGGAGCGCCACGTTCGTTCTAAGCCTGGGTCGGCTGTAATTTGCTTCGAAGCAACAAAAGCTTGGTATTAAGCTTTTGTTATCATTATTACATTAGAGTTTAAATACAGCCCTTTTAGCAAATCGCTTCGATCATCAAGTTAACAAAGGGAATTGCGATACAGCTTTATGCTCACGGCGTTGTCGGTTTTTTTTTTTGGACCTTACTGCAGGGCTTACGCAATGATGAACGTAAGATGGATGAATTGTGTCGCGTTTGGTAGTTAAATGGGGGAAAAAATATGTCCTGACATTAGGTCCGCTCTGGTAAAGAAGAGCACCAACGGCAGAACTGCAAACGATACGAAATGCTAGCGAGGTGGCAGTTTCAGTCGCTCGTTGCTTTCCCTGCCGATTTGCTTGCATCGACCAGCTGTTCTATATCATTTGAGTTGTGGCCAATCGCCGTAAATTTCGTACAGCCTTTATACGTAGTGTTCGTTCGTAGAAATTATGCTAGTGCAATAAATAATGCCCGGTCGAAGCCGAAGTTCTAGAATAAAAGGTAACCGTTGTAGTGGAGGCGAGACGACGAAGAGGATGATGCGGTCGCCGCTGGGCATAGGGGAAAATAGGGGTCAATGGAAATAGAAACCGTCTTTTGAGTTGAATAGAGGCACGCACAATCGAGACTTTCGATGGTGGAAGATACGGTTTCCAACGATTTTTACTGCTCAACCCAGAGATGTCTTGGATAGTATTGTTGTCCTTTGCATCCTCTATCTGTCATTGTAGACTTCACTACGAATGCTGATAGCCCTCTTACTACCGTTGCAGCTGTGTCGTAGTTTTCTGGCCAAAGAGCTTTTGGTGGCGAATGATTGTACCAACTTCAAGAAGTTTAACCGAACAACTAGGCGTCGATTGAGCGATGTTTTCTCGTAGCCAAGAAATTACCTCGTAGGTAGAGGGCTGTGGGCCTTAACATCAATTGAAAGCCATTGTCTCAGTGACGTAGATTGGCACCGTACATTAGTACCGCAAGCGAGGCATAACGCTGTTACGCGGCAGCGATCGTGCTATTGACTCATGTCGATCGAAGAACGAGCGACAGAATGTATCGCGCTGACTTCAACGAGTGGCTAAAAATAGAGACTTAACAACCGCAACAAGTCAACAGGACCTTTTGCTGGGCAGAAAAGTAAACATCACGGTGGGACGACACACGGTGCTGTTACTTCTGTTCAAAAGTTGGCACATGCCAACTTGAGGTACTGCTTCAAAATGAGTAGAAAGGCTAAGCTCGATTAGGTTTGTATAAAATAGCTCAAAATGCACACAGCTACCCGGCACATCTTACACTTACTTTGGGTTTAGCTTAATGTATACCGTTTGACTTACTAATGCGGGATTGCGTCACCTTGGCGCAAGACCATACGCCTTTCTTTAAGACTTGATCATATCATCAATTATAATTCATCATCGATCATACGATCATATTATCAATTATAATTGATTTCGAAACCAATTTGTGGAAATTCTTCTGGCACCATGGTGCTCCATTTTCGTTAACGTTTTCAACCTATTTGCAATGGGTCAATTTTAATTGATTCTCACATTTTTTTAAATTTAACATTATACAATTGTTGGATTCTTTTGACATAGGCGAACCAGCTTGGTATAATAGGTACGATAGGTAATAATATACTATAATGTATTTAGCTGTCTCGTAACGTGTGGCATAGTCTGATAAAAGACGTAAGGATAGGATCAAATAAATCTACAGCATCTCACTTGTTTTTAAGGAAATCAGTTACGCCCACACGATTATGTAGATAATATGATAACTGCATAGGAGTCAAATTAGTATTAGAGTTTTTTTGAGATTTAATCTATTACACCGTTTGCCGTTGTCTATAAATAGCTATTTATATTGCATTAGAAGACATTGGGATTGTCAATCAAGCTAATCGACACCTCGAAACTATCAATCCTGACAGTTTAATTTAAACACATTTGGAACACATAATTTGAAGAAACAACCGGTTCTCAAGGGCAACGTTTGTTATTAAACATTAATATTGTAGTAATTGTACGAAAGGAACTTAAGTATTAGTGTCATATCAAAGAAATGCTGGTCGATATCAATCAAAGTCTTCCGCGTTTAAGAACTACGGCAGCATCTGGACACGGTATTGCGGAGGTCACGCACGCTAGACGACTTCTTATGCTTTTTATACATTTTTCTATGTTTCTTTCGACAGAGCTTCGCGTTCGACCACTGCTTCTGGTCATTCGATGTGGAGGACGCGCATTTTGCGTCACAAAAAGAAGTGTACCACGACATCGGCACTGCGCTGTTGGACAACGCCGTGGAAGGCTACAATGCCTGTATCTTCGCCTACGGACAAACGGGGTCCGGTAAGAAGCTAGCAATCGCTTATAATATTGAACACCTAAGATTATCTATACATTGCACAATGCTATGAGTACAAGAACTATTGCCGCAATAAACTTGATCGATCAAAGATTCCCTCCATGGATAGCGTCTCCCCCCACTGGACACAAATAATCCGGAGGTACACTTCGTACAATTGCACTAGCATCTAGAAAGCCTCAAATGCTTTGGCTTAACTCGCATTAAGTCGACGAATCCAGCTGCGAATCAAGTCAAGTAAGAGGCAGGGTCTACGTTTATTCTCGGATATGGATCTAATCTAAGAGTTCTCCACCAAACAACCACAAATACGCTTCCGCATGACAAATATTAGGTTTGTATGTTTTGAGTCGTTGAAGTATTGGACGTTCTTAGGAGAAAATGGTTAAAATGTGCCGACAAAACGAGCAATAGCTATTGCAGTCTTCCTCCGTATCTGAAATGATCTATTTCTGTGTCATTTGTCCATAAAGGTTAATGCTTATTATAGGTCTTCTCGAATGCCGTAAATAGTTACAACGGTAGATAGCTGGCGTGTCGCTGCTCCTTGTCTGCGTCATCACTTCAACTTGATCTAGACCACCAGCCCCGCGACTCCAGACATTTTGCAATTATTCTGTTCTATCAACGCAGTTCATGTCATTTGTTACCTAAATTATTTGTGAATATTGGGACTTCTTGGACTTTTCTATGGACGAAGGAACATTTCTGAATGTTCCTTCGCTCCATAACTCTACAGGGCCGTAATTAGCTAAAAGGTAGTACAAATAAAACGTCTTGCTTTGCTTTGCTTCGAACCCTAATGTGGCTGAAGATATTTGTTTATACACATGAACGAATTATTGTTGATGTCCGTCCAGCGATCAAGTCTTATATAGTGTGCATCTCTATAGATTGTTTTTATTTTGCGGATACTAAGTATTGAAGAATAATTGTTCCACTAGGAAAAAATGAAAAATAGTAACTTTTCGTCGGGTTACAACGTTCATATGTAAGCATAAACGAGTTACATAGTTGGTTTACTTATAACAGTAGCGTAACGTTGCTGTGAAATTAAAGGGAAATTAAGGGGAGTCTTTTATCGACCTTACGGCCGCTGGATTGGGCCTCGTATATGAACAGCTGAGACGAAAAGAACATCGCTACTGGCAGGATAATGACAGTATACGTTTTTCAGCCTCTTGTAACTTTTGAGGTTAGTAACGCAAGTGAGCGATCTCATCAGCGTTGGAGATGCAGCAAAAGCAAAGATTTGGCGTTGACAGAACAGCTATAATTGTAGCGGCTCATAGGCTGCCAGGACGCTATGCCTGAGATGACACGGGGCTCTACCGCTCCGTGCCATTATCCACCAATTTATCAATCGTTACTGTTATCCACTACTACCATGCCATGTCAAAAGGGAAAAAAATGTTTCCCCCTCTCTGTTCCCCCTCTAACATCCCCCTCTCTGTTCACATATGCAGCTGCCTTTGCTCATGCGAAGTTATCATCCTGTGACAGGGAATAAAACATCAGTATAATCATACTTCTCTAAAATCGAACCTTTGAGGCCGAGTTTGTTAAGCTGAGTCGTCCAGAAATTCCAAAAAGAATATTATCTTTTTCACACATTCAAGTGATGCTCTATATGAACTATAAACATATTCGAAAATGATGATAGTTGACAAAACATTGGTAGCATAATAGCGTTGCGACAAATAATGTGCTTTGCTCATTCATTTTCAGGCAAATCGTACACAATGATGGGCTCAAAAGAGGACAAAGGCTTGATACCACGACTGTGCGATGACCTGTTCGAGCGAATCGCTCGCCATGCTGACCCAAACACATCATTTAAGGTCGAAGTATCTTACATGGAGATCTATAATGAGAAAGTTCACGACTTGCTTGATGCAAGCGGATGCAAACAACAACTGCGAGTTCGAGAGCACAATATCATGGGTAAGCAAGCGGCATTGTCGGGCGTCAACACATTAAGGGATAGCCCAGTTAATGGGACATTGAATTATATCCACGTCCTTGTATTTGTAGTTGTCTTTTGTAGATGTGTGTCCCTTGCTGGTAGCAATTAGGAGATGAACTGGATAATATTGGAAGAATTTCAAGACGGTGAATGGCTAACCTAGTGCCTATTGCTGAAATTGAAAAACCTTGGATTCTGGGTTTCTCGAAGGTGGATAATTATCTCTAATAAAGTCGACAACGGATACTTCTTGTCATTTCCGTAAGTTCGAATATGTCGCGATTTGTATTAAGAACAAATACGTGGTCCTATATGACAAATGTACGTGTTTGATTTGTAGTGGCTTATCATTAATTCTGAAAACGTCATTGGTAGAAATGGACTCTGAGTAGTGATTTCTTTCGCTTCTTACCGATGGGAAAATAATCGCGGTTCCATATTGCGCCTAATAAGGCAAGGTGATTAAGGTGGATTCGAGGATTGGCGTGTGTATAGACTTAAAGACGCAAGTTGTCGTTAAGACGAACTTGTTGTTGGCTAAAGAGACAAAAAGAGACCCAGTTGCTTCTGCAAGCGTCTCGCGGCCACGGGTAAAACCTATCGAGCTTTATCGCGACCTAGAGCAACCACTGTTGGCTGTATGCAACGTTAGCGTATTGTTCGTTAAGCGTTTTATTCAGGGATTGCGTAGAAGCGAGAGAGAAGGAGGAACCTCCACTAATACTGGTCAGCGTTGTTACAGCCCTTGCAGCGACGGCGGCTGCTTCCGTTGGTTGAAAAGAGTTTGTACTCACCTGCAATGCCAGTAGCAGAAACCCAGAACGGACCCCTTTGCGCTGGCTGCTGACTATGCGCTCTTTGCCTCAGTCGTTGCCTGTGTCTCTGAAACAGCAGTTGCTGGTTAGCGATAGGACAGGCTTGATGAACATGGTTTTGAAGGACGAATCGTCACATCGAACACACGGGGCGTACTTACCCTTAAAATCATCAAATCGAATGATTTTTGCCGGAAAACTAGCTATACCATGTTGTACAGCTGTTATAGGAAACTAGGTTTGCCAAGGTTATAGAAACCACAGTACAAAGAATCGTTCAGGCGGAACTGTCTGCTGACGCTATACAATCGTACAAATACTAAGACCATTAGAGAAACGACGATGGCTTCTCTCCGCGCCGAAAATCACACATTTCCATAGCGGTAATTTATTCGGCTTTGGACTACTTGTGGCTGATGTGGCCAGACATAGGCGATATTATACAGATTTCTATTGTACTACGTATCGATCTCAAGTGGCTTTTTGCATAACCAATAAAAACAAATGTATCAGGTACATCTGCATTTTTAAACAGAATTATTCACAGCAGTAGTTACACGGTGTGCTAGTACTACTCGCGACAACGCAATTGACACTACTTTTGATTGCAATTTGAAATACTCAAAATGTTAGCATATGTCTTATTTGTATCAGATTTATGGGCAACCGGGAAAAATGATTATTGAAGTATTTGTGTAGACATGTTAATAAGCTAGAGGACTGCTCGTAGGAATTGTATCAGATATACCTTAACTAAAAAAAAAAAGCCTTCATTTAACACAATGATTATTTATATATAAGACAGTGGTACCAAAAAGCAGGCAAATTCATTGCTTCGTAGAACCCCAAACACGCAGCCACTCTGACCTCGATACCGGCGTATTATGACTGATTCAACCCATGTTATCTTTATAAGCTTTCGTTCGCTACCGTATTTTCCTCTTCTACTATCCGAATCCCCAATTGATACGTGACAAAATAGCAGTCTTATTGCAATACAAACTTGGCTATTGGTATTATATAAATCTGCTGATCTGTCTAATTGGTCTGATAATTTCTTGCTGTAAAGCATGGATCCCTTCTAAGGTCCACGTAATAGGATCTAGAAGTACGAGTAGTACGCCAGCCTGGAATTGTTTGTTGTTGTTGTTCCTCAACGTGGCACGCTGTTCTGGTAACATATTTCATTTCAATGCCAACTCTGACTACACCGCCTTTGGGATCTTTTTGACATGAAACGGTATCGAACATGTAACCATACGATGTAATACCGTCTATTTTTGACGTAGTTTCCATTATCGTGTTGGTTCGTGGAGTCGAACCAGAAAGGCAGCGAAGAAAGATGATTACAAGTCACAATTCAGTAAATCATTTTCTATACCTGTTCTGCTTTGTTGTCACTATCGTTCATAAGCGTATGAGTGAGACGCAAAAACAGCCTGTTGTTACTCTCACAATACGAAGTCTGTGCTTTAGATCCTCATATGAGACCTGGTTTCGCGAACCAAAAACACTGATTCCAGTAACTAATAAAAAGTCGACTTTTGTGATTCCATTGCATGCAGTTAGAATACACCTTAAACAAAAGAGATGATTTTTCAGGAAATTGCAGCTAAACTTATTGCGTGACCTATTTTTGTCGATAAATCCCTAGAAGCGTCAAAACACAGAGAAATTTATCTAATCCAGCAGCTTATTCCCATATCCTTCTTTATGTTTGTTGCAAGAAGGAGGCCCCCGCCGGCGATGGACAGAACGCTTCAGTCACTTACGCAAATCAGACAAAACATGATGAAACAATCAATATAGTGAAAAAGATGACGACGGAATAAATGCTTAAGTGTCAACAGTTCCAGCCGCAATAGTAATAAACTTTTGGCGATAAGTCTTCGATATGATGATCTGTTGTTTTAGTGACGGTTTCTAAAACTAACCATGAATTTCGTTTTTTCTTTTTAATCCATTATTTCGCTGGATATAAATTCACTATATGCTCAATACATAGCTAATGAATCCAAAGTACAGGCATAAATTGGTTACCCAATCCGCACAAACTTAGAATCGATGGAGAGTATTAAAAACAAAATTTTACTTAAATTTTACGGAAAAGCGTTCACTGAGCTGGGAGACAATGTTTCAATAAACGCTGAACGGGTACCTGAACTCTGTGAATGAAAACGGGCGAGTGCCGCAGTTGTGTCATGGAAAGTTCTGAAGTATGGTTTATAAGTGATGGCGGTCTTTCTACGGCCTTTAGCTGCAAACCCGTACTTCAGCCTTGGCTTTTTGTAGCCTTACTTGTATCACAGCTCCAAATACCTCTCAAATTTATACGTAGTATATAGGTATATTCAATTTTTGCGCATATAAATAAGGTGTCTTACACTTTTGTACTCGTAAGAAACGTGAATTTGATTTCGCATTATTACCGATTGATTTACCGCAAAATACTTATTTAGGTAGAGTACCAATGCTAATTTAAGCGAAAGCCTTTTACTATGACATTAAGCTTTTTTTTTTTTTTTTTATATTTAAATAATAATATTACCTGTTTCAAGACGCTTGCTAGTGACGTACGTTTAGCATTGTTATCTCGTGTCGTCGCAGTACAGTTAGTTTTGCTTGTACAATGTGGAAATTACTATATATATCTGTGTTAAATTATTTTAGTTCATCTAATCTTTGAAACAACTTTATTATTTTTCTGTTCGTCTATCTCTCTAGGCACGTACGTGGAGAATTTATCCAAGCACGCAGTAACATCGTACGATCAAATCAACGAGCTGATGGCTCAAGGAAACAAAAGCCGAACAGTGGCTGCAACTAATATGAACTCCGAATCGTCTCGATCCCATGCCGTCTTCAATATCACGCTCACATGCACAATTAACGACCCGGTTACCAACTCACAAGGCGAAAAGATGTCCAAAATGAGCCTGGTATGTATAACTAAACAATTCATTGATATAGCAACATAATTTCTTTCAACACCAAGCATTGTAAGTCGTATGGTCAAATTATGCACGTAATTTATCCAGCTGTCGTTTGTTAGAAGTGGGAAGCTGCTTGAACAGCGACAGATCTTCGCGACTCCTTTCGTGCTTAAGACGATTTTCTAGAAAACCTGTACGAATTTTTCCTTGATGTATGTTTTTGTAGTTGATACACGTGTGTAGAATTTGTGAAGCTTAAATCTTTTCCAAAAAAAAATTGCTACACCCTGCGTGTGTAGTATACAGCCATGTCGACGCTGGCGAAAATCCTAAAAACTGTATGGTCATTTGTCTTTGCATTGCAAATTTACCTAAGCACGTACACCTAAGTACGTTGAATTTAAATTATCGCCTCTGTTGCGAACACTTCGTAGGTGGATTTAGCCGGCTCGGAACGTGCGACGAAGACCGGAGCTGTAGGTGACCGTTTGAAAGAAGGCTCGAACATCAACAAATCCCTTACAACATTAGGCATGGTTATCTCGAAACTTGCCGAAGGAAAGACATCAAGTCAGTTTATTCCCTACCGGGACTCCGTTCTCACCTGGCTCCTTAAAGACAAGCTGGGCGGAAACTCGAAAACAGTTATGGTAGCGACGATTAGTCCGGCAGCCGACAACTACGAGGAGACCCTGTCTACGCTGCGGTACGCAGACCGCGCCAAGAGGATCGTCAACCACGCCGTTGTCAATGAAGACCCGAACGCTAAACTGATCCGTCAGCTGAAGCAGCAGGTCGAAGAGCTTAAGGCGAGACTGCTGCAAGTGCGTAGTGCAGATGTATCCGCGCGGCTCGAAGAAAGCGAGTCTTTGATGAAGGAAATTTCCCAGCCATGGGAGGAAAAGGTGAAACACACCGAGCAGGTCCACATACAGCGGCAGCAAGCCCTCGAAAAGATGGGCATATCTGTCGAGGCTGATGGTATCAAGGTGGAAAGCGACAAGTTCTACTTGGTCAATCTAAATGCCGACCCGTCTCTCAATGAGATGCTGTTGTTCAATATTAAAAAGGAGCGAACGCTTGTCGGCCGTCCTGATTCCGAACGACCAGAAGTTCAACCTGATATCCATTTGTTCGGCATAGGCATCCAGAATGAGCATTGTGTACTGATAATTGAAAATGGTGAGGAGTTGTGGATTGAGCCACGGGAAGGGGCGCGAACGTGTGTCAATGGTGTCGTGGTGAGTGAAAAACGGTTACTGAAAAATGGCGACCGCATCTTCTGGGGCAATCATCACTTTTTCCGTGTTACGTGCCCTCAGAAGCAGCAGCAGCAGCAGCAACTGTCCCCCGAACAAGTGGCGCAGAAGGCTGCCGAGCCTCCAATCGACTATCAGTTCGCTCGAGAAGAACTCATGCTGCAAGAGCTTTCCAACGATCCTATTCAAACGGCTATCGCGACCTTGGAACGACAGCATGAGGAAGACAAGAATATGGCACTCGAGAAGCAACGGCAAATGTACGAGAAGCAGCTACAGATTCTGCGTGAGCAAATGTCGCCGACAACACCGTACGCGCCATATGTCGGCCTGGAACGGGCAGCACAGGAGAGCTGGGCCAGAGAAAGAGACCACTTATTCAAGGTCAGCCTCGCCAAACTGCGCGAGCAAACTGCCACCGCCAATGACCTCGTGCGCGAGGCCAATCTTTTGTCCGAGCAGCTCAACAAAAATACAACTTTTCGCGTGACGCTGCAGATTCCAACCGCGAATTTGACGCCTAACAGAAAAGTAAGAACCCATCGAAAAGAATGTTTTTCATTTGTTTTGGTGTTGCGGGTTTATGGTCATTTATCTTCTACCAATTGTTTTTTATTTAAGGATCGGGTTACTAAAGTAATTCTCGTTGAGTAAAATACTCATATTCTATAAATAAGGATTTATGTAGATAATGCTAAACTGCCTGCAGGAAATATGATTCGTGTACAGTTGATATAATAGAAAAATGATACGACCAAAGGCAAGCAAAGCGTTCATATTTTGCTGGGATAATATCTTCCCCATGCCATTATGCCCTTTTTGGTTTGTACATAGGTTTACTGTTCTTTTATTATTAGTATTATTTATTTGATTTTTGCAGAAGAGCGCGTTTGTGTCAGAGCCGGCCATACTGGTCTCCCGCCCAGGAATGAGTTCGCAGATTTGGTCGATGGATAAGCTAGAAAATAAGCTGATCGACATGCGAGAGTTGTTTGCCGAGAGCGGCGCTTCATTACCGCCTCACCCCGAGCTAAGAACAGATCTCGATCCATTCTTCGAGTCGCAGGAGAACCACTCGTTGATCGGAGTGGCGAATATGTTTTTGGGGGCCGTTTTTCACGACGTAAAGCTAGCCTATCAGGTGCCCATTATTAGCCAGCATGGCGAGGTGGCTGGCCGTTTGCATATGGAGATTTGCCGAACTCAGGGCAGCCTGGACAGGGTGGCTGACTGTGGGGGAACGAGTGGACCGTTTAATGGCCAGGGCTCGGTCGCAAGCGCGGGGAGCGCTCACATGAGTACCAGTATGAGTGCAGGCCAGCTGGGCGTCGCGCTAGCAGCACCCGGCTCTAGCCAGGCCTCGGCCATGGACACAAGCACCACTTCCGTCACTTCTACAGGTTCGAGCGGCTCCGGCGAGGTCGCCAGCGTCATGAGTGCATCGCAACGCTTCGTCCGCATACGCGTCACTATCAAGGAGGCTACGGGACTGCCGTCCGCGCTTTGCAACTTTGTCTTCTGCCAGTATTCGTTCTGGGGAAACAACGTAACCGTCGCTCCTCAGGACGTGCCAGATCCTGCCGGTGCCAGTGTGCCGCCGAACCACGCCATCCTGGTCACAGCACCAAATGGTGCGCCGGCTCGCTTGGTCGCGGGCGGTCAGCACGGGCAACACGGGCACCATGGAGGGTCAACGATCGTCCGCTTCGACCACACCAAGGAATTCGATCTGGCGGTGACCGAGGACTTCGTGGAGTACTGCCTAGAGGGCGCCCTCAGCGTCGAGGTGTTTGGCCACACAAGTTCCGGCTTCTCCAGTCACCACAAGCAGCTAGAATCCGAGGAGTCAAGCAACAGACAGCAAATAGTTTGGTACGTGTTTATCATTTGCCTGTTGTGCCGTGTCGTTTCGTTGTGCGTGCTACGAAAAGCGTTTGGAATTCTGTTTATAGTTGAATATTATTGTAAAATATACTCAAGCCTTTGGCTTTTCTAACTAGAGAAGAACAGAAGTGCAATTCGCATGAACGTAGCCACCATAGTTTAATGTAGGTATACAGGCGAATGTTTTCTTTTAAACTGAAGCTTCTGGAAGTTCGCTTCAACAACCCCAAGGTCACCTACATACCGAATCTCGATTGTTTCTGTCAGACGCCTACACCCAGTTAGCATTATGTATGTACTTGCGATGCGCTACCGCTTCGATAAAACCTAGTAGTCGCAATCATGTGTTTTGTCACCCTCGATGCAATGTTCAATACGACACCAAGTTTTTTTTTTTATCTGTAAGACATACGAGTGCGGTACCTGTTTGCTTCAATTACATTTTCACCTATTTCTACTCAACCTAAGCTTCTCCTGTTATCCTCTACTAAATTCCGCTACCCACCACGTAAGCTCCGAGGGTGAGAGCTGTCCACTAGACCACTCCGTGATGACGCGTTCGGAAATCTTAAGCACGGGCGAGGATCCGTTAACCTCGGCTATGATGAGCGGAAATCCGCGACTCGCCCTAATCGATTCCCCACCTTCTTCGCCAAGTCCTCCACAAAACGCTGATGGCAGCGACAGTACCATTACCAACGATAATCCCTATCGAGACGCCATACCCCACAATAAACACGACTCAACCTACCACGCGGGCGAGGCTGATGAAATGCCCGGCCGTCGTCCACCTTCTCCAATCTTCAGGGCTTCCTGTGGGGTATCACCTAACGGGGCGTTCGGTGCTATTTTCCTCAATCCCTTGCGAGCGCTATTCCAGGCACTGGTTCACGGGCCTGCCCTTTGGTTTATGAACCAGAATAGTCATGAGGCCACAACGAAACGGCCGCACGACAGACGCAGCTTGGACGAGGCGGTAAAGTTCATCAGGTTGGTCAGAAGCGGGGGCGCCCGGTTGAACTTGTTGTTGTTGTTATTGCACCGTCATTTCCACCATGAAGCATCATGATTACCATCAACCACCCATTTCAGTTCACTCACGCACCCATACCAGGAAGGAGTTAAAAGTAGTGTGGTGTAATTTCTGATGATAATATGATTAATAATAGTATCACAGCATATCAGCTGAGGAAACACTTCGAGCTCTGTTTAGACTCAAATCAAACTGCTTTTTTTGCCATCCCTACTACTTTTACTAGCGCAATGTGCAGCTCAACTCGAGCACCGCATGATTCGTGTACTTAATCACTGTCCGTGCTTCTGTAAAAGTAACCCTACGCACATACACAAACAGCGCACTGGAATGAAGCTGGTAAGGAAACAAACAGTAATCCAATTTATCATATCACGTAAACTCGACTCGCTAATGTTGTGTGCCTGCCTATAAAGCCCGCATTTCTATTTTAGTGTTATATTATTATGTTAATACGTTTACTGTTATTATGATTATTTGACAAAAGAGCTCAACCTATACTAACAAGGGTTTTCCATCGATTGTTGTAATCCTTCGTTACACCGTGATCTGGCGTGATTTTGGTGCTGCAATCCTTCCGCAACAACCGGTGCTCATTCTTCTTACCGCAAATATAGCAAGCATAATGGGCACACGGGTATAAATGATGGATTTAGGACGGGAATGGATTTAGGGCCAGAGAGCCTTGGGGAAGTTCACCTAGGTGAACATTCCCTCGCTGCCCGATGGAGTGAACTAAAACGGAAGCTTGAGTTGTGGCTTGAAATTCATGAACTCAATGAGCAAGGCGAGTACGCGCCAGTTGAGGTAACGCCCCGGCCCGACGCGGCCACGGGGGGCGTGTTCCAGCTACGCCAAGGCCAGCAGCGCCGCATGGTGGTATCGGTTTCAGCTGCGCCCTACTCGGGCACCCTGCCGCTGAGCTGCGAGGCCATCACCCACGTTTCTGTAGGAGGACTCTGTGCTCGTAAGGTCGGGCTGCAGAAGCCTCTCGATTCATACCAAGATGATGACCTACGCGCATTGCGAGACAAGTAAGAGCTTTTATATATTAACAAGAAAGGATCACCGCAATCGTTATGTATTTGAAATAGCGGTGTTTCTTAAACATATCCTCATGATACTCATGTGACTTGCTCATTTGAAAATCATGTGTATCGTAATCTTTTTTTTTAATATTTTCACAACTCGTGCAAGTTTGTCGCTGTATCTAGCTATCTAGTCATGACAACAAATGTTTTCACTACCTCCGACAAGCATTGGTTTAGATGGCTTGGCCCTTTTATTACGGAACGAAACGTCTCACGCGGCTTTAAACATAGACCGCCTTACCTCTCTCTAGATTTAGTGGGCAAATACGTTATTACTTTACCATACCAAGATTAAGCATAATGTAACTCCTTTTCCTTTCTTTTCTCGAACGTGTGGTAGATGGGTGGCTGTGCTTGACAAGCGCAAGCACTATCTACATGAGCAGCTGGTCAAAATGAGTGCAAAAGAAAACAAAAGCGAACAGGAAACGGAACGAGAGCGGCAGCTGCTGGATGCGTGGATGCGTCTACAGGAGGAGCGGGACGCGGTCTACACCCCCCAGGCAGGCTCGCGGGTGCCGGGAGCACCAGCCGAAGGCGACGGAGCCGAACTGGCTGGAATGGAGCTACACACACCAGTGCTCTTCCTCGATCTCAGCAGTGACGATATGAATCTTCATCCCTCCCACATTCCAGGTGCTAACTCGATACTCAGCAAAGAGTTGGGCAGTCCCCAATACACGCTGCCCATCGTACGAAGTGAAGACAATCGTGTCGTGGTAGCATGGGATTCGTCGATTCACGATTCGCCGCTACTAAATGCCGCCACATCTTCGCAAGACCGGATCTACCTCATTTTGAAGGCAAAGGTACGCCTTTCGCACCCTGTCTCAGTGGACATCATACTGCGTAAGCGATTCGCCATTAACGTCTACAAACGGCAGACGTTCACAGAGAAACTGCGAAAGCGGATATCGGGCGCTCCCACACTTTATCGGTCAGGTAGGATTGTTTTTAATAATGTCATAACGTACAGAAAAGACTATGTCCAACGAAATTTCATTTTGGAAGCAAAAAAAATACCGGTGTGTGATCCACTATCAACGGAACAGTCCATGCACTGAAAAGCCATTCATAGAAGTCGTTGGTTATTAGTTAGCTCTTATTGTTTATGTTGTAGGTGTCACGTACGAGATTGTGGGATCCATCCCGAAAGCGTGTGAAGATCTTGAAGGCAGAGAGACTCTAGCTTTAATGGCTGCCCAAGGTCTAGATGATGTAGCTGCTGACGGAGAGTCGTATATTGAGAAATATACGAAAGTTGTCATCTCAGTGGAGTCGATTCTCAATCTCGATAAGCTACGGCAAGACGTTGCTGTCAAGGAACTCCTGCACTCCCAGGGGCGTCCTATCCGCAAAACGCTATCGGTTCCTAACATGGCGCAAGTAAGCCTATTTGCTTTGATGGGGGCATGTGTAATTAAGAATTGTTGCTATGAATTTCAAAGCAGTTGAAGAAAGCTGACAAGACTTCACTAATTTAACACTCTTATTAACCCTGGCTGGAGTAGCAAAGGCTAGCAAGAGTTGAATTGGTCAACACACTGAATGATTCGCGCTTTTTCCCATATTGTTCAATAACTTTGATTCCTTGAGGCGCCAAAGAAATTACTTGGGGAAATAGCTTTCGCAAGCTAAAGATCTAGCTGCTGCAATATTCTCTTGTTAGGATCTTTGCTTTTTCTATTCCTAGTGTTGTCAATCAAAGGCAAATGCTTTGGTTACTGGTTCGTATAATTGCGCATGCTAGGTTGTTTTCGAGCCCGCGTGCCATAGTAAACGAAAATCAAGGTGGATGGTTCACGAACTTAAAACGGCTGATAATATTTAAAGTGACTAAATTATCACCTGATTTCTGCTATTCACTTCATTTTCTGTCTCTATTCCAATTTTTTCGTTCCTCTCTGATCGATCGATCAAAATACTGATCAATTCTTTCCACATACTGCAGAGCATGTCTTCGAGCATGACGTCATCGATGATCAAGCAGAGCATCATGTCACTGTCGATGTACGATGAGTCCACGAGCGGTCATAACCATGGAGCCACGGGAATGGCGTCGGCCGCAGCAGCAGCAACAATAACACATTCACAATCAGCCGCTGTTCACAATGGACATAACGGTTCGCTGTCACACAATTCATCGTACGGAGACGGGCTCGACAAGCTGAAGGACGCGGCCAGTGCTATCACGGGTAGGTCACCTTTAGAAATCCCTTTGACACGCATGCACGCACACATAATCAAGTAGCACATAGCGCATATAACTCTCTGACGTTTGTTTCAGGAATGAACATCAAAAAATGCGCATTTTAGACGTTCAAAAGAGAAAAAATGAGTGAGATGTACTATAATAAGCTAAAGGAAGAATAATGCATTCAAGCTTCATGACTAGTCTTTAGGCCACGGGTTTAAAACAAGTTTTCAATGAAAAGACTAATGCAAAAGTAACGAGCAAGACTGCTATGGCTTATAGCGAAAGTTTAGTATATTCATTTTTGTCGGCGACCAAACATTGACCAAAAAAAAAGATAAACATGCGCTATGGAAGGATGTCCGAGGTGGAGACGGTGTAGATGTGTGTTCAATACGGATTTTGGCCAATGTGTGTGATTTCTTGCGCATCCAGCCCTGTGCAATACCGTACTTGAATGTCTTGAATACTTTGACTGCCGGAACTTTTTCAATTTCTGCCTCCATTTATCCATTCATTCATGTATTCTGGCCTGTCTCACCGACACCGCCTCACCTTACCTTTCCATTTCGCGTAACCTCGTAGGTTTGGCGAATAAATAGCACAGTTTTCAATTTGGTATCAGTAAGCAGCATAAGTAAGCATAAGCAGTATAAGTGATGTTTCTTGCCAAAGCACTGGAGAGAATAAATTTGCTACATCTATGGCTTGACTAGAAAATATTTTTGGCATGTTTATTCATTCCGACGCTTCAGTGCAAACGAGGGATGCCATTTCTGACTGATAACCAAATGACACTAGGATCGTTATAAGTTCTACAGTAACAGAACGTAGCAATCGGCAGCCTTTTGGGATTTTCGTCTGAGAATGACGATTATGATGAGCTTAGGTCTGATTAAACTTGAGCAATTTGCTTGTAAGATCATAAATGAGTAAACATTAGGTTAGAATTCGACGTTAAGCGTATCAATAGCGAATTTGTTTTTAGTCGTGAAGGGAGCTATTATCTAACACTAACAAATATATCCCTCGTGCACGCTGCGCGGATTCACAAACGATTCCACCACTTCGTGACTGCGTTACTTACTTTTGGTAACATCTTCACCTTTACTACAACTGCTACTAACGTACAGGAGCTGCGCGTCCAACTTTCCTCAATTTGAACTTTAACCTCAACCTAAGACAGTCTTCTTTGAAACGTAAAGATCAACACCTAAATGAGCATTATAGAAAACCATCCAATATACTTTTATATAGCAGATACTCAAAATCTTTAAACGACTTTGTTGCAGTAATAGTTAGAGTGATCGTCGAATATTGTGGATAAACAAAAAAAGTTCCCGATTGGCAATCGTCTAACTATATAAAGCAATTAAATGCGAGAATTTACGCAACTCTATCGCTTTAACACACGGCAAACGATAATTTAATCATGAAAATCGTCATTTGTATTTAGAACGCTTTAGCAGGCAATTACTAACATGTGAAAATTTTACCATTGACTGCATCTTAATATGACAGACTCTCCGGCTACAGGCGCTCTTGTGGGCCAAAAGCTGAAGCCATTGCGACCTCTGATCGAAGAGAATCTCGAGTCCATTTCGATTTTATCTCACCCTGAGGAGGAAGATGCCGAAGAGTTATTCAGGAGATCACACAATACCTCCGATTCGACAGAACGTAAATATGAAATTCCGTCAATAGAGCCTGCTTAAAAATAATGGAGACAATTGTATTTATATCAAATAGGGTTTTTGTTTTCACTTTGTTTTACTGTCAAACTTATTCTTATACTCAGTTGGGTTGATGTGCCCTTGAGATGCAGACCAGGTGATTGGCGCCACTCGATCTGCCGTGACAACATAGTCTAGGGTAGTTTAAGTCTATCTACACCTGGTTATTGTACAAGATTTATAAATTACATATGTTGTGCGTATCTGTAATTTGTTTGCCTTATAGCGAAGAGTCTCGTATCAAGCGGATATGGTTCGCAGGCGCTCTCCACCGAAGATTCGCCCACGAGATGAATATCCGTACCATTTGTTAAACGCTTTTAAGCCCTGAGGTAACTACCAAGGGCAGCCAGGGAAGATAGGAATGCACCAAGTGGTCATCAGCTCGAAGTTATTAACGAAAATTTCAAACAGTTCCATTACGTTAAAAAAAATAAGGGCTTAATTAAAAAATTGTTCATCAGCATTCAGGTTCCGTCTTTAGCTATCAGAAGATAATACGGTACAAACGGTTGACTGAATATACGATAGGTCACTACTATACAGCTTAGACTTGCTTTATTATAGTATTAAAAAACAAACATTAGTCCCAAGTGAATACTTGCTAACCATCCTTGAGCAGAAGCACTCATGATCAGCGAAAAATACACATCAATTAGCGGAAAGCCTGAATAATAATGGCATTTTAAATACTGAGACACACACAAACACACGCATCAAGGACCACCGAAAAATATGTTTTCCTCATAATTTCTCGACGATTTTTCTATCATCTGCCGCAAAATATAGGGGCTACCGGTAGATAACTGTTTGAGAAGCTTGACAAACTTGACACGGACGAGGGCGTTTTTGCTTCCCTGGTTATGAGCAGTTCACTCAACAGAAACTGGTGGCACTTCTGAGACTTGTGGGAACGTCTGATCCGATCGTACTGTTTTAAACAAATCTGTAATTATACGCGATCGAAGAATGACGACGGAAGAAGATGCAATGCGTAAGGCGCAATTTAATGTGTACGATGCCTCACGAGCAACACCAAAAAAAAGCCAGAAGGTGTCAGCATGATTAGTGGTCTACTTGACCCAGACATGTTAATAGTACCGAACATAAACGTAACTAAACCAAACACGCACGTTAGACTGGGACTAGAGGTAAAAAAAAAATTACGTTTCAGCAACGAAGGCAGATTTTGCAGTGAACAAAACACACAAAGAAGAGATTACCTTTGGAGATTTTAGAAAATATGAGAAGAGGGTAGATGAGCGCACCCTTAGGTCATTAAAAAAAGACGCCATGAAATGTTATCAGGGCTCTGCTATCCTATGTCAAGACGAAAAACAACAACAAAGGATATAAGCCACCTCAAACTAAATGACAGATACAACTTCTGGTTGACCGGCTATGGCCGCATCTGCATAATAGCAATTAGCTTTTAGTAATGGCTAGAGAACGACCTCGTACGGTTGAAACTGTGGAAGTGTTACTGCCATCTGGCAGATGTTTATGAAGGCTTTGTATGTGTATCTATTATAGAGAACAAGTTGGTGACGACTTCTGGTGATTTTTTTTATTATTAATATTTATATATAAGGGTTATGAAAATTAGTAGAGGGCAAAGAGAGAACACATTTTAACTAGAATAATTAGTCAAAAACAAAGAGACGACGTTCGCTTACAGTTGAACGCAATTAACGTTGTCCGTTAATCGTACGCACGGGGACCCCACGGCTTGTGATAAACAGATGAAAGAGAATACAACATTAAAGCAAACAAACCGCAATGAAAAAGCTTGAAACAAGCGGTGCCATTGTGGAATCAGTGATATTGTATTGTCGCAAAACGAGAGAGATCCGTTAAACAGAGGGATATACCGCGAACGTTAGGGCATCGTAGCACGAATTGCACGTTGCGTTATGGGAAAGAACAAGTGCGCATGAATCGTAGACAGCCACGATATCTGCCACTGAATAGTGTACTGGTGCGTTGTAACGCGTTATGTCACGTGGGTGACGGTTAATGGGATAATTTGACTATATAGCAAGAAGAGAACATTCAGATAGAGCAGCGATTATCACTTCAGCGGGACGGCTGTCCTGGTTGTGCTATTACACCATACCTAAATATACATCCATCATCCAAGTATTACCTCTAGCTCGATATAGCTACAATGGCTAGCATTTTATTTTTTAGTTTTTGTCAATCAAGTGTGCAATCGTTTATATACAGATAATACATCATGCGATATATAATACACATTATCTCTCTTTTTCTCTCTCTCTCTCTCTATATATATATATATGAATATTAACGATGATCCTGTTCATGTATGTATGTATAATATAGCAACAATATATGCGCACTCAAACAAAGAATTTTTAGAGAACGTGTTTGACTAATCAGAATATGTCGACAAATCAATGAGTATAACGTTGAAGCCGACCGCGAGTTTTAAATAATATTATCATTGTCGCGCAAGACGCTATAGCGAATAGTATGCGTTAATTACTAGCTGATTAGTACCTAAAGTATAAACAGGTCCTATAAGTAAGAAAAAGCATAGGCCAGAAATTAGAGCATATATATATATATATATACGCATCAACGTAAAAGCACGTCGGAATGTGAAAGTTGTTCGTTTGCTGTGAGAGCATCACTCGGTAGAACGGAATGAAGTCAGGCAAAACGTATAGTTGAAGAAGACGTTCGCTGTATAACGCTGCGTCTGCTACTATGAAAAAGGCTACGTCTATTGGTCCGCACAGATAGCATATATACAGATAGATATTGGTATATATATGTCTTGTATAGCAGCTAGTTCAAATGCAAAAAAAAAATAAGCAAATGTACAATGTAATACCTATTGCACACGAATCGCCGTTGTCATCGTGATCCGCGCTGCACACGGAAGACGAACAATAAGCGAAAATACTGAAAGATACGTTACTCACGATACCTTTCATAAAGGGAAAAGTATTCGTTTAAAAGGTAACAATTAGGATCAAGGGGAGAATTCATGCTAAGGTAAAAGGTGAAGATCAGCAGTACAAATAAAAGCCCGCTTCAATCTTTTGCTTTGACAACAAAAATGATAACAACTAACAATAACAATAAACGGGACATGTGACGTAACTTTGTGAGATTTACACATTGTCATTAGTGATTATATGTACTTTAAGTTTGTATCGCAAGGGCAACAATTCATTTATAATGTTGTAGATTGATTCTATAGCATTAATAACGTTTGACGTCGTAGAAACGCTTATCTATTATGAAAGTAGCGTATATATTACTGTTTTAATTATCACACTTTTTTATTATTATTGCTTCAAAGATATAGCTTATCATACGATCTTGTGTTGAGAGACGAAAATACGAAAAGCGTTATAGTAACAAGACAAAATAAGATAGAAGAATATTCAAAAACGTAGTGTTGAGTCGTTGTAATTAGCTAATCTAATAATATTATTTAGTTCGTAGAAAAGGTTGATTGTGCATTATATTGACCGTATATACCTCACAAGTAGATATATATATATATATGTCATTACCAATTAATTGTTATGATTATATATCCGACATTGCTTTAATAATGATTTTATGACGTTGATGTATACTTTTTTGTCAGACTAAAAAAGTTTTTAAATCTTCAATCTACGTGGTGTAATTCGCTTCGTATCAAAAACGTAGTTTTTATCTTGATATTCCGAAAAAATACAAGTAAATGGGAGCTATATTCAGATCTATTTCTCAATTAGCATTGTTAATAGCGCTTAATTGCGATTTGGCAAATAGAAGTATCAAAATAGAAGTGAAGCCTGGTCTGACTGTTACAAACCCGTCGCGTTGTGCGCTACGCTTTATTGTGGCAGGCTTCCCACGAGACGAGACTTTATAAAAATAACCAATCTAGTGTTAAAAATTTTTTTCTAATTACGCATTAATGTTATCACCATATGAAGTCTGTGCATAATCAGCCCTATTATTGTGTGTCGGCGTAAACAGTAGGTGGAAGATATTATACATCGAGATAAAGATTACCTTTAGACACGTCTTTAAAGCGAAACTCTTTAAAACGACCCTTTTTGCTAGTAATGCCTATCGAACCAGTGCTGCCACAATCCGGATACATAAATTAGAGCCACAATTACATAGTGGCTGGTAAGCTGAAAATGATTTGCAAAGATAAAGATGAAGGAGCTAGAATTATAGTTCTTCCAGTCTTGACTAAAAATGTACTTAAAAAAGCTTACATGTAATCAAATAAATTGATAGATACATGGGAACGGATGATTAATAATGATAATTCAAGATAAAATGAACCTTACTTGCCGTTAAGAGATGTTTATGAATTGGAACAACACGAACGAAAAAACAGACAGAAAGCGTTTCAGAAAACTCGATAATATAAATGGGATAACATGAATCGGGGATGACTGGAACTATTAGGTAAAGATATAAATGATGAGGACGATGACGTGTAGACGACAGGAAGTAAAAAGACCATTTTCTGGGCAGTCAACTTTCCAATGGGTCTCCGGGCCGAACCGATTTTTACAGTCGAGTTTGTCAGAAATGTTCGCGCGAGCGCCATGAACGAAAATTGAGATGGCCACGAATGGTACAAATAATAATAATAGTAATAAATTAGTGAAAATGGCGATGATGGCGGCGATGATGGTGAAGCTACGACAACACTAAAAATGTTGTACTAAAATATGAAAAGATGCAGCAAATACATTTTACATAAATAGGGTAATCGCACAGCTTTCAATCAAATAATAGCTGTTATGTATTAACAAGCGTAGATGCAAATTAAAATGTTCACGATAGAGAAAATATAAAAACAATGATTACAATAGCAATAATCAGCGAACAGCGATGCAAAAAAATCTCTACCGACAACCGTATGAAGTGTACTAGTGAAGTCTGCAAAATACTGTTCATATGCTCGTCGATCGAACTATAATAAATCGATGTCAATTCGTAATTTAAATGAACAGCATTAAAAAAACGGTGTGTAAAAGCAATTCCAGGCACCCCGCGAGGACGCAACAAGCAGAAAATTGAAATATAAACAGAACAAGAGAAATTAAAAATAAAAAAAATTCTATCGAAAGAGATTCATTTTATGGGTCACCAAAATGATACTCCTTACAATTTCCGGTTGTGTCACCGCTACCTACTGGGCACAACTAATTGATATATGTTATGGCATGAGGACATATTAGTAATCATTATAATTACTCCCTCTGAGCATAATTGATTTATCGAACGAAGTAATATTAATTCAATAAAACGAATAAATAAACGAACAGGTCCCAATGACAAATAGTGTGTTCATTCCTCTTGAATAAAGAGCCGGATTAAATTTTTCTTTAACATCGGCCTTCACTACTAATGGGTAACAACCATTAAAAGTATTCGCTACAACCTGAGAATCCGGCGGACTTCAAAAGAAAGACCTTTACACTAGTTCCGCCATAATGGTTTTTTAATACGTGGTAAAGGTAGTTTCTTTTATTTTTTACATACTTCTCCCAACACTTTGGTAGTACTACTGTCATCGTACGTTTGAGCGTACTCGACGCTGCTACTGGAACCAATGTCACTTTATAGCGACGCCAACGCCTAGTCCCTCTCTGGCTGGCGGTAGAAGCTGAACCATGCCACGTCGATGGCGAATGTGTGCTCCAGACAGGTTTTTAAGTTTCGTTAATTGCATTTGGAATACACCGCCTGAATTTTTAACAGGCCTAAAGTCAAAGGCACGGGGGATTCATTTGTCCTCAATTTACTCATAAGTAAAAAGTCGCAGCTGAACTGTTAGCTGTGCCCAACAAGGCCCTTAGACTTCGATCTCTGCTTTTGTGAGAAGCCCCCTCGATCGCGGCAATGCGTTGTTGTCTTTAGGATCCCCATATCTGCTTATGCTGTTTACAAATTTCTCTAAGAATTTAAAGTATGTACCAGCCAAACTTTGTCTTTTATTGTATAAGTTCGCTTGCAACAGCCAAGTGCTTGATATTGCGAAATAGCTTTACGTAATTGAAGATGTCATTTACTTTCTAATTAAACATTCCACCAACATGTTGAGCAGCACGAACAGGACCACCGCCTCTCCCTGTACGTAAAATGGGCATCGATAGATCAACAAATATATACATGATTTATTCAAATAGACAAATAATTTACTTATTCACAAGACTTTTATATACATTTATCATTTACAGTACATAGGTAACGAAAACAAGTGACAATATTAAACGGTCTGAAATATATTTGACGCATATTGTGCCGTTTCATACGCCTTGATACCTTCTTCCAGGTTCTGTTGCTCCTTTTGTTGTGCCTTCTTGACCACATTACTGGTCCGCAGAGTCATTCGATGGAAGTGTTCAGCAAACAAGCACTTCAACATTGGATAGATATGAGGGAGCATCTTAAGGTGTTTAGGAGAGACTTGCATATGGTCGAATGCACAACCTACACGGCCTTTTTCAAAAATAGCTTCGTCTACGTTGGGTAATTTGCAGTAACGCTGCGAGAAGTGTGTAAGTATGGTGAATTTTGCATTCATCTGACGCCCAATTTCGATAGCCTGGCTCGTAGTGCAGTGGGCTTTCGTCAACGCGTCTTCTTCGAGCCCATCTTCCATGGTTGCTTCATGAATTAGCAAATCGCATCCTTGGCCTAATTCGACGAGACTCGAAGCAGGTCTCGTGTCGCCAGAATAAACTATGCTGTAGCCGCTAATATCGACGCGAACTCCATATGCATCCCTGCAATGAGGGACGCAACAAGTCGAAATACGATCAATTCCTATGTCGGTAAATGTCTCAAAATTAGAGACCGGTAACTCTTCAGTGTCGTTTCTGAAGTTGCCGCAGTATGAAAAGTCAAAGTCGATCGACTCGAAGACGCCGCTATACTTTTTAAGCCAAACAGCTAGGTTTGTGGGTCCAATAATGCGCAAATTTGTTTCGATACCAAGATTAGTACGTTCCTTTATAATCGTAATTAGACCGAGATGGTGATCAGCGTGCATGTGAGAGACGTAGACGCATTTAAGGTTGCGGAGCACATTTTTAGCTTCTTCGACGCCGTAATGGCGAACGATTTGACTCCACGTACTTTCTCCACAGTCAAATAGTAGATACGCGTTAGGTTTAATGGCCATTAAAATAGAGGATACGTTCCGATCTTTGCTTGGAATGGCACTTCCGGTCCCAAGAAATGTGACGACGGGGTACTCCCTTTGTTCATTTATTTCGACCCTAGCCAGTCTATCTTTTAGATCACTTAAAACAGCATCAAAGTCAGGTGCAGTTTTCGCTTCGTCGAGGTATTCTTGCGGCACAATTTTAATTATTGCCTCGCAATCTAGACCTTCATGCGGTCTGATGTTGTACCTAGTTAATGCAGCCACACCAACGTCCTTGGACCTTGGGAGAAGAGGAAAGACTTCGTCATGAATCAAGTTGAGCCGATACTGCGTCCGATAGACTGCTACACTCAGTTCGTAAGTGTTTTCCTCACACAGCACTAAGTGGACAGTTTTTGAGGGAAACTTGTTGAGGAATACGCGATATTTGGCCGAGTTATACAACTGTTTAGGTGTTATATGAATGATCAGACTTACCAGTTCGTGTTGCAAAGCATCCTCGCCAGTCTGATAAGGTCGAAATTCATCAGCGCTAAGAAAAGAATCCAAATAATCATCAGAAGGGCACTCCAGTATGATGAAAGTCGGAGAGATTTCCGACGGACCCAAGACGTCAGTGGGTTTCACCACACGTCCATCCCCCAGTGTGACCTCCTCCCCTGCTTTTAGTTTCGCGAAAAGAGGCCCTGGAGATACACCAATTTCCACACAGCGTTTTGGGGACAACTTCCCAGGTTTTGGATGCGGTTTACAAATATAGCTAATCACTGCATCTTGAGGTATCGTTTCGTTGTTTAATCGAACCCTTTTGGTAGCTGCTGTACCACTTGCACAATCGTTTCTGTTCAGAATGACATATTGAATTTTCATGACTTCGTCACAGAACTCCAATCCATTATTGCTGTTGAGATTGATCAAGTCGAGGTGTGTAAAACCACGCGTAATATCGAACAACTGCAGAATACTCTTGTGTCCGTTAATCTGCAGTTCCGGCACTCCTGTATCCTGCAGTGTCAATAAATATCCGATTAGGCCTCCGATATTCTCCCATTTCGGCGACGTAAAGAAGAGTTGTTTCATTTTTGGCATCTTAACCTTGTTCTCCTGACAAAGCTTCTGCGTTCCTTCGCCACAGTTGAACAGGTAGCGAGAAATGTCGGTGAAAACGAACACCGATCTTGGTCCGCCCGGGCAACCATTGCCCAAAATCTGAAGGTAAATGTTGGGGGCAGCAGCGATAGGTTTATGTGCAACTCTTTGCTTCTCGATTCGTTGCTGTCGTAGCTGCTCAGCAACTCCTCGATTCTTCGGCATTTCGACAGAAATGTAAAAAGTTGGGAAGCTGATTGTACCGTTAATGACAGGGCGTCACATCCTCCAAACGTGATCTATAAACCTGTAAACTAACCATGTGATGAATAGCTTAATAATGTAATAAGAACTGTTATACCGGGGCAACCATTTCAAGATAGCAAGAAAATCCACTTTCTGTATACGAAACAGACAGTCTCTATGGATTTGTCAATAAACTCGGGAAACTTAGATCTCGTCCAGTAGACACTGCTATAATTCAAACGATAGCTCTTATCGAATACCAGGTATTAATACAAGACCTGCTACTTACAAACGGATGATGTCTGCAAAAGCTTTACCCATACGCGGGGCTCAATTAACGTATCAGTGTGTCAAACTGGCCGTTTTTCAGCTTAACACATCATACTCGAGAGTTCTCCAACAAAGCAACACTTTAATATCCACCTAGTAACTATCATGATTACGCTTGCACTAAATTTGACAATATCGACAAAAGCACGCACGACCATTGAGTTGCTCTACAATTTTTTGTAGAATGTTCTAGTACACGCACAATACCGCCATTATACAATAAGATATTCGTATACGTATTTCTGTCACATAGTTCTATCAATGCAGCTATTAGTCCCCCAGCTGTATTTTTGAGCAATCATAAAATCTACCACCCTCAGCATGTGGCTATATTTGTTATGTTTGCCTCAGGCCCTTTGTCTGTAATAACCACTATAGGAACTAGAACCCATGTATATTATTCGCACAGTTACATAGTAACCCGTTAAATCGGTTTACGAGGTCAAGGTACTGCCTCTATATATATCTGACTTAACAATCAACTGGCTACTCAAACATACCTCAGGTGCTTCCGTTATTCTTGAAAAGTGCGTACATACACATCAATTGATCGAGCACTTCATATTCGAATTCGCTTACTGAAATCTACGCGTGTTTCGATTCTAACATGTGTGACGGAGAGCCGGATCGGGTTGCTTCATTTAGTCAATAGGATTTTGAGGAAAGCGTGCAGGTAAGAAGCACAACGCAAAAACTAAGTATGAAGCAGTATGTGCGGAATAGGCGTTTAATAGTATGTACACATCTATTCGATTGAAATTACTGAATTTTGGATCATTCTAACTGCTATGACAAGCATACGTTTTGCTATGATATTATTCATTTTTACTGAAGTCAATAATATCGGCTTCCACAGTTCATAAATTGCCGCGCTCTACTTGTGGGAGAGAGTCAATCTTTGTAAATATTGAGTTACTCGCGCATGTTTCAAAAAATTCTATGTGCGCAAAATTGCGGCTGCCGAACTGTCACGACTATGACGAGTGTCGTCACCCTCATAAAACAATGCTGTAGTAATAATTATTTCTGATGAATTTAGTCTGGCTTTGCGCTTTAGATATTGGGTAACAGCAGTGAAGATAGGAACGCGCTCTTCATTTGTAACCTTATTCAAACTGGTTTTACATTGTTATAAGTATGGTGGCAAATATCTATCAAGTTACGTATATAAGCTTCTGTCAGCGACCATTCTTTGATGCGTTAGCACTAAATAAACTCGTTGTTACCTCCTCAAGTGAAGGGTCTAAGAGACGGCCATGGGAGTGCAAAGTAGACATCGGTTTTGCTATATTGTTATTTGTTGTTACTTTAGAGATTCGGAATCATGTAAATGACGCCATAAAAATATCTTGAAGATGAACACTCCAATGCATGTCTTCGAGCATCTTGTCGTTTATTAAAAAAGAAGCGAAAATCGTTGGTAAAATGCTTGACTAATTGCGTTGCACTTACTAAACTGCATTTTGTGCAGAACTCAAGATAAGAATGGCTAATGCCATAGCGTGCCTTTTTCAACAGCGTCGATTACCAACTTTTAGCAAACTTACTAGAGCAGATACTTAGAGATACTAAAGCAGATATGGAATTTCTTACATCCTCAAACCAAAATACGCAATGATAAACACTTGTTCAAACATTTGTGAGCCACGTACAAGAAGTTCATACAAATCTCTATTACGCCAAAACAATGCAACGCAATCGATTCACTCTAACGGTATTTTCCGCTCAATTCTTTTGCTGTGATCATTAATTTCCACTCTTTGTTGTCGAATACGCGAACTATATTTGTCAGCGTTAAAATATACATTCAAGTAATTTTCGACGTTTCAATTATTTTTAGCTAATACCGAGTACGAAATATTTTTTACCTAGTTTAGTCTACTCGTTTTTCATCTCATTTATTTAGATCGAATCTAATATCAAAAGCCACGGTTGTTACCTCAAAACATACCTACGTATAAATCTGCTCGACTAGAATAGAATAGAGTGAACACACATGCCTTCCTTTATAAAGTAACAAATGTACAAAAAGTATATTTCTTTACAACTACTTGACTATTAATTGTTAGAAGAAATACCTAATCATCTAATTTTTGTTCTAAAAGACCTCCTTTTAATGTTTTTATGAGCTTTTTAAGATTATCCTTCTCTTGCTCTCGTCGCGCTTCTTCTTTAAGTCGAAGTCGCCGAATAATGTTAGATGCGCTACTATTTTCATTCATATGATGAACGTGTTCCGCAAATAAGCTCTTTAGTGAAGGATAGAGGTGAGGAAGCACTTGAAGATGCTTGGGGGCAATTTCCATATGATCGAACGCACAGCCAACGGGATGTTTCTCAAATATTGCATCGTCTATATTTGGCAGCTTGCAATAACGCTGAGAGAAATGTGTGAGCAACGTAAACTTAGCGTTCATCTGATTCCCGACCTGAACAGCCTGCATTGTCGTAGAGTGCCTTTTTCTCTTTGCCAGCTCCTCGAGGCCATCCTCCATTGTTGCCTCGTGGATAAGCAAATCGCATCCTTCACCCAGTCTAATGAGATCCAGACAATATTTCGTGTCACCGGAGTATACCACACTGTAACCGTTGGTATCGACACGAATGGCAAATGCATTCTTCGTATGAGGAACAAGGCAAGCTGAAATATTGTTAACAGCCAAATTAGAGAATAGATTCCGAATTAGATTTTGCTCCGCTGAAGACGGCTCTTGCTTATCCCTACACAAAACAAGACAGTTCACAAATTCGAAAGGGAGCCGCTCAAAGACTTCACTATAGAGGTCAAGCCATGTACGCAATTCCGGTGGTCCTAAAACACGTAGACGTGTTTTGACGCCGAGTTCGATACGTTCTTTGATAATCGAGATTAATCCGAGATGGTGATCGGGATGCATGTGAGAGACATACACACATTTCAGGTTCTTAAGGACCTTTTCGGCATCTTCTGGCCCATAGTGCCGTATCATTTGCCCCCAAGTGCCCTCACCACAGTCAAGTAGAATATGACTACTCGGTTTCGTCGTTAATAAAATGCCGGACACGTTACGGTCCTTGCTTGGAATGGCGCTTCCAGTTCCGAAGAAGGTCACTAGTGGGTATTCTCTCTGATCATGAACTTTTGTCTTTTCCAACTTAGTTTTGAGCTCGGCTAACTCCTGCTCAAAGTTCGGTGATGCCATTGCCTCTCCGATATACTGTTGGGGCATAATTTTTAATTTTGTCTCGTCGTCTAGCCCCGTATGTGGTCTCACATTGTATCTCGTTAAAGCAGCTACACCCTTCGTTACTGAAGATCTCCGAAGGAGAGGAAATATCTCATTGTGTATCAGGTTTAGCTGATACTGCGCGCGATGTGCTTGCGCACTCAGATCGTGACTGTTCTCCGCGCAAAGCTGTAAATGAACGGCCTTTGGCGAAAACCTTTGCAGAAACAACTTATACTTAGCTGACTCAAACACATTTTTTGGAGTAATATGAACAATTAAGTTTTTTATATCCTGTTCCAGGGCCCCTTCTTCAAGGTCGTACGGTTTAAACTCTTCGGCCTCGAGAAAAGAATCAATGTAATCCTCAGTGGGACATTCCAATATAACAAAAGTTGTAAACAGTGCGCTAGGCTGCACGACATCACTTGGTTTAACGATGCGTCCATCAGGTAAAGTTATCTCATGACCGGCTTTTAACTGAGCCAAATGTGGGCCTGGGGGTATGCCTAATTCAACGCAGAGCTCCAGAGATATCTTGGCCGGTTTCCAGATCGGTTTACAAATATAACTGCTTACGGAATCACTAGCAGTTTCATCCTGCCCAGCTAACTGGATGTTTTTTAAATTACCGAGGTCATCATATTTTCGTTTTCTATGAACAATCTGCCGAATGTTCATTTCCGCATCAGCATATTCTAGTTTAGCGTTCGTTCTTAGCTTCAAATACCCTAGATTTACAAAGCTACGAGTGATTCTAAACAAATCAGAAATGTGATTATATCCATTTATCTGAAGCTCTTGTATCCCTGCATCTTGTGAAGTCAATACAAAGCCAATTAGACCTCCAATATTTTCCCACTTTGGCGAAGTGAGAAACACTGTGGAATTCTTCATTTTGATTTTATGCTCCCGACAGAGTCTCTGTGTTCCCTCTCCGCAGTTAAAAAAGTAGCGTTTAAAGCCTGCAACAACAACCACTGTTCTAGGCCCGCCTATAGTGCCATTTCCCAAAATCTGAAGGTAGATGTCATTAGGTTGATGGTTTTGTATCCATTCATCTTGATTCTGCTGGGCTAATCGATGCTTCCAGGCTGTCCGGCCAATTGTGTTCCGAACTGCGCCAAAAAGTCGGTAGCTACAAGTCGAATGGCCGAAGTCTTTCAATGCAAACATCATGGAACGCCTGCAACAGCAACGAAAATAAATAACATATTTTTACGTATTCAAAACATCGGCAAAACATCTAAAAAAACACCGGGCAAGAATAACGATGGAAAAAAAATTGGAAAAGCAGTATAAAACGTTCACATTGCTATAGAGACGTTGCACAGTCAATGAATGGCACCAAACGCGTGATACCTAGTATACGCATTACTATGCCAGTACTCTCAATACTAAGAGTTAACAATCGCACAGTGCATGCTGTACAGATTGCAATGTTAAGAACTGCACAAGAGCTATACTAACCGATTCATATATACACCAACCACATAGAAGGTGGTGCGTTTTTGCGAGATTTTCAGTCTCTACGTTTTCTAAGTTAGATTGGTAAACAAGCGTTTCACGGGATACTAATAATCTTCGAACTATTGCCAAAATTCCTGTTCATAAGGACACTTCTTTAACTAATACGTACATCTGTACACGTCAATATTCATATATGCGTAAGGTGATGGACATTGTCTTCCGAGTGCTTCAAGTTTCTCGTCGGCTTACAAATCCACGGGAAAATTGATACCCCGCGTGAATTGTTTCGAACGTGCGCATTGCTGGAAAGGCTTGGTTCGAGCGGCTGTATCTAGCCAATACTAGTCAACACACGGAACCAATGATGAGCTAGAACTAGATGCAGCCTAGTCAAGTCGGACGGCTCTGCTTACCTCAATTATGTGAAATCGAGCGATTGACAAGTCAAAAGTCAGCTCATTATTGGCTATAGCTTTCCAAAACGTGGAAACCTGAAAGCCCCTTATTTTGTTGGCAGTGAGAAACGCATCTTGAAGGTAGCAAAAACGTTGTAATACAAGATACTGTCTATAATCAATATAGCAAGATCATCGATCTTTTTGAATTACAATTTTTACTCAAGTCAACATTTGCGACCTAGACGTTTTTTCTATTCATTATGTTTCATTCATTCCTCACACTTGTCAGTTTTGTACATTGCTACTTTTCATAGCACATTTATTTTATAAGGCATGGCCTCAGACTAAAATGAATGCGAAAGGAACCACATTCCCTAAGATAGAGTTTTGAAACACATTTTATACAGAGCCCCTAATGCTAGCCTATTTATTTTTGGTTGTCTAGGGATTCCTTATCACAACATCATTATTTTGTTTTATTTTGAATAGTTTCGAAATCTTCTATTCAACGTAATACGACTTTTTGCTTCAATTTTATTCAGATTTTTTAGATTTTTAGAAAACTGATTCATTTTTTTTTGTTTTACAATATTAGTCACCAGTTCCTTATTTAACATTTCTCATAAGTGAACACGATCAAATGAACGAAGTAGCACGAAACATATGTTAAAGTTTACTAAACTATGTCTAGACTTCATAACAATGCTCCTTCTTTCTACTAATAGACAAAAAGCATGTGTAGCAATTCGAAGATAAATGAAATATTTGGATACGAGAGATTATGTAAATATTAGTTAAACATTGTTAAACGATGTTGAAATTTATTTGCAATTTTTTTATAACTTAAACACACCCGTATAGAGCGATAAGTACGCACGATTATAGCTAGGTATAGCTGTACGAATTGTTTACTATTATGCTATGTCCAACACACAGGAATACAGGTATAGCCTTTCTCGTATAGAAATACAGGAAGACCAATCACGATATAATAACGAATATATGTACAAAATAATTTATTTTTAACGACAGTTATATATATGTAGACAGCACTGCCAAGCTAAGACACTTCAATCGCCTTCGAATGATTTTTCAAACAGTCTTCAGGGGCTCGGACCTTATTCCCATTTTTGTTAAACTCTTTCAGTTCTGTCCGCACCCAATCCATCTTGCTTGCGCTGATAGTTCTCTGTTTCATCTTTTCAACGTATTGGGAAAACAGGCATCTTATTGCCGGGTAGAGATGAGGCAAAATCTGGAGTAATTTGGGTGATATTTGCATATGGTCGAATGCAAAACCTACTCCCTCTTCTGCAAAGATGCTTTCATCTTCATTAGGTATCTTGACATAACGTTGTGAAAAATGTGTTAGCAGCGTAAACTTTGCATTCATTTGACGCCCCACCTCAACAGCTTGTGCTGTCGTGCAGTGCCCCTTAACTAATGCCTCGTCTTCGAATCCGGTTTCAAGCGTAGCCTCATGTATGAGCAAGTCGCATCCTTGCCCCAGCTCGATGAGACTGGGGCAGCGTCTCGTATCGCCTGAGTAAACGAGGCTGTAACCGCTGCCAATGTCTATACGAACCCCGTAAGCATCCGGGCAATGATCAACCTCACAGGTCGCAATACGTTTGATTCCTAGGTTTGCAAGCAGGTCCTGATGACTGGGTATGTTAGCCGGCGGGAAACCCTCTGTGGCCTTACCTTGAAAAGTGGCGCTGTTCACAAAGTCAAATTTAAGCTGGCCGAAGAGCTCACCGTATTTCTGCAGCCACTGAAGTAGACTGATTGGTCCTATAACGCGCAAAGTTGTTTCAACGCCCAGTTTGGTACGTTCATTTATCATCGTAATTAGGCCAAGGTGATGGTCGGCGTGCATATGCGATACATAAACACATTGAAGATTGCGGAGGATTTCCTTGGAACGGTTAATACCGTAATGCCGAATCAACTGGCTGTACGTGCTTTCGCCACAGTCGAGAAGTAAGTATGTTTCTGGTCCTGTCACCACTAAAATACCGGACACGTTACGATCGTTGTTCGGAACAGCGCTCCCAGTGCCAAGGAACACCACTAGCGGATATTCTCTTTTGTCAACGATTTTCAATTTCGATAGTTGATCGTTCACCTGCTTTAAAGCAAGCTCAAAATTCGGTACCGACCTTGCCTCACTGATATATTGTTCAGGCTTAATTTTTACTGCGGCCTTATCATCTAATCCCAAATGAGGTCTAATGTGATATTTGGTAAAAGCGGCTACACCAACATTTGAAGACCTTGAAGGTGGCGGGAATATCTCATCATGGATCAAACTCAGTTTATACTGTGCGCTGCATGATTTGGCGCTTAACTCATAGGTATTCTCTTCGCAAAGGGGCAGATGAACTATGTTTGAACGAAACTTTTTACAGAACATTTGATATTTAGGCGAGTCGAAAATTTTTTTGGGAGTCATATGTACAATTACACCTGTGTCATCATACTGTGCAGCATTTTCCCCAAGTTGATACGGTGAAAACTCCTTGGCCTTGAGAAACGAGTCAATGTATTCTTCTGCAGGACACTCCAATATGATAAATACAGCTGCGCATGAGTCCAGACAAAAAACATCATCAGGTTTTATAACACGGCCATCGTCGAGTACAACCTCTTCACCTGCTTTTATCTTCATGAAAGGCGGTCCTGGGGGTACTCTCAGTTCAACACAACGATATAGATTAAGTTTCTTCGGTTGTTTATACGGCTTACAAATGTAGCCAATGACAGCATCATTCGGAATTATATCTTCACTAACTTCATTTTCATTAATTATACTATCACTCGTGTCACAGCTATTGCTTTTGTTGAAGATGACAGATTGAATACTGATGAGACTGTCGGAGAAATCTAATTTGTTATGTCGTGTCAGTTTGATCCCGTTGAAATTAGCAAATGGCTCTGTAATTTCGAATATCTTCATTATATCTGAGTGTCCGCAGATTTCAAACTCATGCATTCCACATGACTGAACTGTCAGCATATAACCTAATATACCGCCTATATTTTCCCATGTTGGCGAGGTAAAAAACAGAGTTCTCACGTCGGACATCTTAACGCCGTACTCTTGACACAACTTTTGTGTTCCTTCACCGCAATTGAACAAGTAGCGGGAGTTTCCTACAACGACAGACACTGATCTTGGCCCCCCTACACATCCATTGCCGAAAACCCGAAGGGTGATCACATTTGAAGACTGTCTTTGAGCACCTTCGATTCGCTTCAACATTTGTTGCCTTTTGATCTGTTTAGCGTGGTCTCTGTTTTGAAATGGTCCTGTGCCATCGTTTACCGTTGAGCTTATAGATCGATTCTTAGTAAGACCTCGATGAATAGACCAGTTCCGTATCCACAAACGGAGCATACCTAGAACACATAAAAATTCAAACATATACAACTAATGTGTTTACTATTATTCAATGCAACAAATTATTTTTCTGTAATATATGTATTATTCTTCTACGTTCAAGCCTTATAGTTTCCTTTTAGACGCGTATTGAGCATATGATTATAGCAGCCATCATTTTATATTTCAAGTTCTATCCTCACGAAGCGCTCAATGTACCTGAGCTTTTAAAATCTTCGTTCCGCTTAAGATGAATATATTTAGGCTTCTTATCAATATAATACATTAAAAAACTATTCTCAGTATAACGCAAGCTTCAACTATATATATGCGCCGACCTATCGAAAGTATTTCTTGTACGTAGGCTTGACTATAACAAAGAACGATTTTGACTAGACCTAGTTAGCGAAACCTCTTCATAAAGTGGTTAATAATCAGCAACGTATATGCGCGAGTTTCAACAATTTCAATGTGAATTTAAAATGTCAATGCAGCGCTACACCAATTTATTTTCTTTATGATAACAATATGTCATAAACATTTATAGGATTAAAGTTCCAACCCTACAGGGCGCACAAAATGAACTCATTTCGGCATTTCTACATTAGTTGGTAACGTTTACAAATTCTGTTTTAGATCTAGAATTTTATATGCCACTAGTTTGCTTCGCAAATATTTGTTGATACTTACTTGCTTTAGTTTGGGTAAGCGTTAATATCATAAATAGTTAACGTCCATAGTAGATTTAAAGGAAGAATGTTGAATTGTTACTTAAGTCAATTCAATCATATGTTATAGATGAACCGGCTTTGATGGTGTCATCTAATGTCGACGGCCTGAGAAAGAGGGTCGAATAGGCAAGTAAAAGATTAAATGTGGTAAAGTAGATGTGGTAGATAGAGAAGGATATGAGCAACTATGTCACGTAGTCAATTATTTCAGTGGAGAATCATCGATTTTTTTTAAATTAAAACTTTGTTAAAGGAAAACTCGTTTAATAGACGGGGTTACCGTAAAGTATTCAGGGCTGACTAAGTACGGATTCAAAAAAAAAAGTCGACTTTGAAAACCATATGGTATATGGCTACCTTTTCTTTAAGGAATCCAAGAGATCTATTTGGATACTAAAAATTAGTTAGCTAATTAAAGAAGTGCCGGATATATGCACATTTTTTTATAAATTAACCAGAATCTAATTGAGACGCTCTTCACTGTATCACACTGAGGCCATTATTTCGGGGACGCAGTTTGGTAATCAATAAGCACTAATAAGTAATTCGTGTTCCACGTTCAGTACTGACATTAAGTACGGTTTTAGATGGCTCGATCCCATGACCAAACAAAGTACATTCATACCCGGTTTTAAACATACACCCCCACTTAGCAGGCAAAAACATTACCACTGCGCTGTCACGGAAACGATAAACGAACATGGAACTGCTCAAATCGCACTTTCGCATTTAGGAGAGGGGAATGTTTACAAATAAAAGTGTCGCGCGCCTCTCTAAGGGCACCTTGGGCAGCAGTTAAGCCATCTATTCATAGAAAAAAAAGAAGACGAATAACGAAAAGTATGGTAAGGAGGTTGTATAATCGGCACTCATATTTTTTATTATCATAAAGAAACTGTATTTCGTTAACCAGTTGTTGATAGTTACTTTGGGAGATAAAGTGGAGCACTAGAGAAAGAGTTTTTTGAGGCATTTCTGCGGGAGTTAAAGGCAACTTGGCTAAAAAGTGCTCCATACTGACTGTTTTGTCGATTGGTCGATTTTTCAGAGATTTTTAATTGTTATATACTGAGCCAAACGTTAATGACTACTTCATAAAAGATAAAAGCAAGTGCATCCGACTGATATATGTTACAACGTAACTAGAACAAAATTTCATTTATTGGTTGAATTGTCCTACTATTCGCCAGCTGCAACATCCAGCTTGTAAAAATCGTGTTTTTTTGTAATTTTATGATAATTTAGATTTTTTCAACATTGGAAATGAAATCGGAAAGTTCAAAAGTGGCAGGAATAGCAGCGGTATCATCATTTTTGGGAAAACAGTCATCAATCAGAGATCGATCAACATTTTTCAGCTTACTGCTATTTACTAACATGCAGCCCATGAATTTAAAACTTGTTTTTTTTGTCAAGTTGCTTATTACAACGACTCTGAATACTAGATGAGTATAATTGGAATTTCATTAAGTTGTTGACTTTCGCATAGTTTGCAAAATTCAGTTGAAACGGAGGTCAGAGGCTTTCACCCTAGACATAAATTACTCCTACTCATTTTTTTCTATCTTTTTTTTTGAGAACTTTGATCATGTATGCCGCATTGAGTGTACGTGGTTCCAGCATAAAATATAACACAAATCGAACAATACTATCGATTTAGCTGGCAACAATGTTTAAATTTTCGTTGGTTAGCAGGAAAACTAATATCTGTGCTTTTGTAAATTAGAAGAGATCTGTTACTCTTGAAATCAGATCCAAGTAAGTAGAAGTTCATTGGCCGCTTATTTTTCTGTTTTGCTTGCACGGAAATTGCGTCAAATTACACGAAGAGGGCAGTTACACGTACATTGAGAGCTTTTTCTCACGCTTTGTTTTTAAGACTGTATATAAACATATATTTCAACGGAATGTTTTCAATGTTGTAAAAGTGCTATTTCTGACGGTTAGATTTATTTCATATAAAGATCATTCATCCCGATTACAGCTTCGATTTAGGATCTAATTCAGCATTTAATTATTTTCAAAGTGTTTCTTCTTTAATCGGCAAATAACTTTTAGTAGGCTTTTTAATAGTAACTGTAAGTTGAGCTGGTAAGTATTGCTTAATTACACTACAAGTAAAAACGCTCGGCGAAATTAAACTTTGGATTGGGAGCATGCAAACATTTACGAAAAATGGAAGGGCTCAAAATGTCCAACAAATTTTAAAAAAATATAAGAAAAACATAAAAAGTCTTTAAAAAAGTTGTTACCGCTTTCTGGACCCATCGGCAATTGATATTCGCTTCTCAAAAACGGCGGTTTATTTATGAATAAAAGAATCCAGGTATATCAAACACGGCTTCTTGAGCCATTTTGATTAATTTTTGGGTATCTTAAATCTAAAACCTATTAAAGATATTCCCGTTTTACTTCGTGAAACCTTCTTCACGTTTTACAAAAGCCACACACACACACACACACCGTAAACCGTTAATTTCGCCCAAAATAAATTTAATCACGGTGGGACCCGTCGACAGAAAAAAAGTAAAATAATAGCTGATCTTTGCTCATATAAAAACAATGACGCAGTGCTTTTTGTTACGAGTAGTTTATTATTTGGTCTTTGAAAGAAATGGCTTTTGTCTAAGACCAAAAGTTTCCCCGATCTAAACGCACCACCCTGCGTCATTGTTTACACGTGTAAGTTCGAACCCAGCAGATTGACACGAAACAGAATTGACACTTAAGTGTTTCCTCTTAATCGAACGTTTATAAATCATACGTTAGTGATCACCTGGGTGCTGAAACGCAGTGTGAGAAATAAGTTACTCAACCCTTATTTTGCCTGTCAGCAAAAGCGGGCCACGTGACACGGCTTGCGGCCCTTACAATGTGCAGTGTGCACGTCTAGCAAGGTTTTTCGTTTCCACTTTCCCCCACCAGATGACTGGTGATCACTGGAAACTATCCACGAGGCGCGTGGCCCGCTGTAAGCTACGGCAAAACTCAAAGTTATACCGAAAGCAGTAACCTCAATTCTTTCCAGGAGATTGTTGTGTATAATAACCAACCATTGGAGCTAGTGTCGTGCCAATATGGAATCGATAAAAACCGTCGCCGGTCGATCATATTTTTGAGTTATACCGTATTCGTTAGCAAAGTATTGAGTTCGTCACAGTGATCAATACAGGATCACTGTGTTCGTTGTGGCCCATAGCAGACCGCCGACTACTGCGAATTAATTGCTGAATTTAATCAAGAGCTGCTAATAGCTAAAGTTTAGCCCCGTGAATATGAGTTACTCGTGGAATTCTACAGTATCACGACCCACTGTAACGTGGCCTGCAAATCCTTTGGCGGGACTCATGGCATCTAATGCGCCGAATTATTTTACCACAGCTACCGTCGTCGCAAGGCCCACCCAGTATTCAAATGTTTATCCATTTCAGACGTTCTATTCTGCCTACCGGGCACCTGCGTATCAACCTCCAGTTCACCCGACAACTGTTTCTTTACCTCAAATGTTACCATACACAGACAACAATAGCTTTTATGAAGGTGGCTCGAGGTCATCATTCGTCCATCATAACCATCAGCTTCTAGCGCAACCGATAAATGCAATGATTCGACCAGCAACGCACGTTTCACCGCAGACGAATAGAAGCTTGGCTCACAGTAGGACGTCGTCACAGGAAACGCGTCATCGAAACTCAAGCGGTAATCGACAGCTCCGGCTAATAACCAGTACACATTTAGTAAGTAACGCTATGGTTGGTGGTTTAAGAAGAACCGCTACTTCACCCGTTGTGACCTCAGCTAGGATCAGTTCACGGCCAGCATCAACAGAATCCTTCGAAACGAGCACGGTTGAAAACCAACTTTGCTGTGCGGTGTGTCTGGAATCGTACATATCCTTACTAAGACAGAACATGCGACCCGTCGCGTTGAATACTTGTTGTCATGCTTTTTGCGAGCGATGCATGCAATCGATTCTTGGCCAACGAGCTAAGTGTCCGAAATGCCGGAAGCCGATCGATATTAGAGACCCGTATCATGTCATCTACTTTTAATTACATCTTTCAAAATGCCGAACCGTGGTTGTTCTCCTTCGTCCTATCTGCGACGCTGAACGACGAAGGCGCGCTAATTGAGAGCGAAGCGACCGGGCTATCTGCTGCAGTCGCCATAGAATAAATAGCAACATGGCACGATTATGTACAGTGGAACGTAGACAAAACTGTTGCCTGGCCGGCGCTGAGTCCGCAGGCACTGTTCGATAGTAAAAATCTACTGTTATTTAGCTATAATAATTGTATATTAACATATGGCAATTCGACTGAGGTTCGTTTACATGAATGTGTATAGATGTGTGTGTGTGTGTGTGTGCGTGTATATATATAAATGTGAATATGCATAAATAATTATGAAAATGATCGAACTGTCAAAAGCGTGATGCAGTGCGTTTCTAATTGATATAGTACTTTAACATTAATTGAAGAAGGTAAACAAACGGTATCTTGCTGGGACTGGGGCTAAGGTAGGAATTGCGGGATAACTCATACTACTGTGGCGTACATTAATTCAATTCGCTAGTTTTTTCTGCTTTTCTTAGAGAACGCCAGTTGACGATGTATGCTTGCAGGTGATGAATCTGTATAGTGCACGAAATTTATAATAACAAGCTAAATCCTTATTAATAATAAAAAAATCGAGGCGAGATACTTCTGGTCGTGATTAGTCAGTTGCATTTTTTCTTCACGTGTAATAATAGGAAACGCTGTGCATAACTATGTCAGGAAAATGAATGGTTTACTAACAGGAAAGATGGAAACAGACGTTTACATCATAGGCCATTCTAGAAGTGCATATGATAGTCGTGTTTTGAATTAATGATTTTTATATATATATATAACCATTCTTCTTCTTATTGTTATATAAGACTAATAATCTTCGAGCTTTTGTTGTTCCTTTACGGGGCATTAGGTTTAAATATGTCCGCCTGCTAGTCCTAGCTGTTTGGTTTGCCTCATTTGGGCTGTGCTATCTGCGTGCGTTGTGGAGACTCGCCTTTGTACAGTCTCGATTTACCGTGCTGGTTATATATTGCCGTAGCGTATGTTACTTGGAAAGATGTTCATGTATTTGAGATGAACCTGTAATGAAGCCACGTAAACATCTCTGACTAACTGGTTGCCTACTGCTCTCGGCGTATGATATTTACCTGTAGAGTTAGATATGCATCTGTTATGTCATTCTATAGAGATGTCATATACACGTTGGAAAGCTCGTAATATACGATCGACACCAGAAGATTGACATCTTGCTCAGTTCAGCTCGTGGTAGCTTAGCACCATATGACCGTACTTTTATTTGTCCTCCACGAATTGTCAAGGTACGATGCAATTTCCCAGAGTTTGCGTAGCAACATGCCTGATTTTGGTGTACCTACCCTTCTTTGTCCTACATTTAAATGTTGAGGTTTTTGTACATACACTCTTGGTTGTATCAGTAAGTTCTCATTTTGTACCCTATTGGTGAATAATTAAATTTTTGCTCAGTCAAATAGCACCATTATCACACTACTATTAGGTAAAGAATTGTCTTTTTTTACCATACCGCAATCTTTAATAGGATTTCAGAATGTGTTTATATTCGTATGCATGTAATTATTGTG